TAGAGCACCCGTGCGATGCACGGTTTGAAAATTTTCACGATGCAATTAATATCAATCAAATTTAAAGTTAAAAAACTTCGAATTTTACTTGAATCATTTACAATTATTCTCCGTACAATAATAAAGTTTGATGTAAAAGTGAAACATATTCAGTATGATCTATCAATGATTACTGAGTAGTTCACACATTTTATAGACCCACAATATTCTATGTTTCAATTTTTGTTCCACTGTCATTGTATGTGATGTGATTGTTTAACGCTCGACAGATTGATTGCTCCTGACACAACCACGTAAAATTGACAATAACTATAAATAAGTGTTTTCAACAACAAACCATGCAACACGGGATACCAACTATTTTTTATTTAATTTACATTCATGACACAATAAGTCATGTTTAGGTATTCTCGTATCCGGAATTGCAATGACTAACGTTTTAAGGTGTTAAGAAATGCTTCGAAATTAACACCTTCTGTCCCGCACAAACTCATGTTAAAATTAAAATCCTTCCTTCTAGTAAATTCACCCTCACAATGCACAAATGATTTAGCAAATATTTTTTTCATTTTATAAATGATTGCCCGGGTAAACATGCAAAATAGGGAGTGTGCAATAATGTAAAAGTGTTTAAAGAGATCCTTATATTATTTCACACATGTACAAAAAAGTAATGTTGTCATTAAGTACATTTACATTTAAAACACATTCAATCCAGGCATTTTGAGCCACTATGGTGGTTCGTTTTCTAAATAACTTCACATAATTGAATGTTTTTTTATAAAAGCACATATGCATTTCCAAAATATATAAATAAAAGTATAAAAAATACCAAAAATAATGTCAAAATGGATAAATACTAAATCAGTTTTTAAATAAATAAAATACATGAAAACCTACATCATATAGAATTACAATGCAAAATTCTTAAAAAGTAGAATATACGAATAATTAGTAAAGAGCCAATAAAATATAGATTTTGTATTCATATATTTTATAAAAAAATACATCCCGAATAGGAAAGTGTAGCAAACTTTAAAATACGGAGGGAATACTCCTTCATACGTATTAACTTAAATGTACAAAACTCCAGATTTGGACATTCATCTAAACTGAAGAAACCTTAAGCTATTTGTACAGGTCGATCCAGAGCAGCCTATGTGTTCTTCGTGTTCAGCAACTAAACGGGCTGCGGAAGTAGCCCAATAATCCATGTAAACCCCTCCCAATATAAGTGCGTTTATAATGACTCTGAAAATGACCCCTCCCACAAACCCTCCCTTTCTTCGCCGACACCTAGCCAGATCGACATTCCCTCTCTCTAAACTCCAACCACGATGCTCAACCGCGGTTTATCCAATCGACTGGAAAAACGGAGTGGTCGTCGAACATCATCGTCGTGTTCTCATCCCTCATCCCACCGTGAAGCCGCAACCGAACGAACATCGGCACAATACGGCGTCAAACTGCGTATTTAGTCAGACTGCACAGTAAGTTCATTTTCCTTCCTCTACATGCAACCCTTCGTCGATTTCAAGTTTTTCAAGAATAACCAAACTAATTTTTTTTATAACTACAACACACTAACTCTACAATCTGGAAGTTTCATGGCCATGGATCCATAAACGTTTCATTCTTCCGCCTAGATTTGCATGTCAGGGGTAAGATCTAAATCCAACCACCTCACAAATCACATCTTCACTTTGACGTTTATCACGAATAAACAACGACAAACCGATTTTATATGAACAACATTGTCCAAAGCCCATAGATCTGGAAGATCCGTGTTCATCTTTCTTATCGATTTTCATTTCTAGATTTGTTCTGATAAATTTTTAATAAAAGATTAATCTCATTTTTTTATAAATCGATCGTCAAATACACATTTTTTAACAAATAAGCATACTAAAACCGACTTTATGTGAAGCATATCATCGAAACTCTACAAATCTGGAGTCCATACGTTTATTGTTAAAAACCATTTTCATTTCCAATTTATGTTGATAATTTCCGATTGATAATTTTTTAACAAATATGCATCCTAAAATTATGTTTATCATTTTTCATTCTCCAAAAAATATGGATGCTGTTTGTTTGCATTTTTAACAAAACACACTTAAAACATTTTTTAATTTTTTTAAACACTTTAAACACAACACTTCCACCAATTTTAAAAATTGTACGCATGTACACACACATGCGAACAAACATGCCATGTACCATTAATAGTAACCCAATATCATTAAATACAACTACACCACCTACCTTTAAATATTTGGAACTGTTGGGAGACCGATGAACTCATTCATGAGGTTGAACAACCCGAAATCCGAATCGCCATAAACGAATTCTAAACAGTTATTGTCTACCCATTATTTGTCCCAAACATCCAATCTCCACTCCAGCCCTTCTCGACCCGATATATCAAAAGACAACATAGATGTAACACACACCAAACACATAGACTTCTATGAATTTGATAAATTTAAAATAGCCCTTTTTATTTAAATAGCACAACTCTAATTAATACAACACTTTATTAAAAAAATACCCCTTCCATCAATGTCTCTTGAATTATTTCTTTTTGTCCAACCTACAATTATAAAATTACGATGTGTTTTTTTTTCAACCAATTTTTGGTGAGATCAATGGTCAAAAAATAATACTACCAATTTGAGCAATAATATATATTTATTGAAACTTTTTTATAATATAAAAATGATATGAAAATGTTCTTGGTTAAAAGTCATTTCATAATAGTAAAAAATTTCAATCTTTCATAATATTATACTAATCAAAACCATGGTCCAAATTTAAAGATTTGGCTATACATTTTGGAACTGAAGTAATAATGTTTTCATCAGTGACACACTTATTCGTATATTCACATAAATTTAATCTCCATTTCACATAAATAAGGAAAAGGAACAATATGCCTATATACTGATAACTGTAAAAAATATTCAATATATTTTAAAAACATTCATTTGATATGCAAGTCTGGGGATGTCTATTCTTTGGTTGACCGTTGTTTATTTAACTTGTACCTCTTTGAAATGTCAATTTAATTTAGTCTGTTGCATCTTAATTTGTAAGTTGGAAATGTAATAATTTAATAATTACGTATAGATTAGGATAGAATTAGGACTGAAACAGACGCAAAAATCCGATGTACGTCTCTGAAACCCTTAATTTTGTCCACCCATAATAAAAAAATTACATCTGTTTTTTTAGCAAATCGGTGCTCGCAACATCATGCTTACAAATAGTATGACAATAAATGTATAAAAGTTGTAGGCTTAAAACCTAATAGTGTGTTCTTTAGTCACATACTTTTTAATTGGATAGAAAATGAACCCATCGTATATAAGTAGGTTAACTACTTAAGTAGGTTGATGCTATACAATGGATATATAAGATTTAGCCCTAACTTCCTTTTTTGGAATGAATTAAGATTAAAAATTACATGTTTGAGTAGGAGCAAGAACATTTAAGAGCGAACAAATAACAAAATTCAAAAAGCAAAAGACGTAGAAGGCACTGGCTTAAGGTACCTCAACTTATTGTCTTCTAAGCACAAGTTCTCCACGCGTCTAGGTTTTAGATATTGCATACCCATAATAAACTTAGTGCTAAGCACTACATACTTAAAACATATTAGTTAAACTCCATGAATAATATCAAGACTTAGGCTCCTCAATCTTCACTCTTTCTGGATCAACTTCCAGCACAATTCTCTTTTCTGTATTCAACATTTCAACAAAGGGCTTGTTGAATCCACCTGTCGGGAGTTAAAGAAATAGAGTGTTAATTCACATACCTACTAACTGTGAGGTTTGAAATAACTTAATACATCTAGAAAATAAGAATATATTCTCCTTTTCGCTTCAAGAAAACTCTCGCTTCAAGAAACTAAACTCGTCCTCCTTCTATATATCACCATAAATAGTTGAGTTATTTGATACTACGTATTTTAACTTAAGTCTCCCAATATTTATGCTATGTTAGATAAGGAATCTCTGGTGCATTTGAATCTGAAACATAGAGAGAAATAAATGTCAACACTTGTGTATTGTGCAATTAGAGCTTTGATATGGGAATGAATGAATGTGAAAACCTTCTCTCATCCACATTGCTTTTATAGCTTAAAGTCCATTGCAATCTTTTAAAAATTTGGAAACAATCAATAAGCTTCATTATTCCCACCACCCATTCAACCAATAAGGTTTAAGGATGTTTTTACTTGGATTGTAATTTGCTGGTCTGGTCTGGTCTATACTGGTATGGTTTCTTTGTGTTTTTATAACTATCCAAGTCTGGTATGGTCTGAACTGGTCTGGTCTGGTCTGAGAGGAATTACAGTCCAAGTAAAAACATCTTAAGTATTTGACTATTCCCACCACTCATTTCAATCAATAAGGTCTAAGTATTTGACTATTCCCGTCACCCATTTCAACCAGTAAGATTTAAGTATTTGACTATTCCCACCACCTATTTCAACCAATAGAAAATTAGAATTTTAATCAAAATAAAGTATACTCCTTCCGTCCCATATTTATCTTCTGAAGTACAAATGCCACACAGATTAAGATAGTGGGAAATGTGTGGTGGAGAGTTGTGTAGAGGAAAGAGAAGTGTGTAAGAATGTGTAAGAATGGTTGTGAATCACAAATTCTTTACTAAAAAGGGAAAGAAGAAATAAATTTTGAACAAACCCAAAAGGAAGATACCTGCGTTAAGGCAATGCGAAGTAACCTAGTATTTGGGTAGCGGAGAAAATTGGATATGTATTTGTGTGAAAAGTGGCCGCCACTTTTTTAACCAACAGAAATTCATCTCTATGAGGTATACGAACTCATCAAGTGTTGATATACAATGGTCACCACTTTTTTAACCAATAGGAATGAATACGGAATATTACTCATGTTACCGTTTCCAGCTCATTCGCACCATCCAGTCATCCGATTCGCCTGACTTTCGCCTTCTCTTCGCCGACTAGCCGGAGACGCACGTCACGCACCCTGCTTTTCCTCAGTAATCGCCGATTCGCCGACTCGCCTTCTTCACGCAAACGGCATCAGTAAATCAGTAATCGCCTTCTGCTTTTCCTCTCTTCAGCCTTCAAGGAGAGCCGCAGCCCGCAGAGGTGAGGTTATCTTACTTTCTTACTTTCTTTATTATTTGTTTTTACAATTTTTAGATTAATTAGGTTTTTTATTTGTTAAATTAGTTTGTGTTAGTGATAAGTGTGTCACAATTGATTTTGTGTAATTGATTTGTGTAATTGTGTGCTTTGAATTGTGAAATAGAAAATTAGGAAAGTGTGATGTTATTTGTGAATTTTTGAAAATATTAATATGAATTATATGAAATAAAATAAAGTATTGATTAGCATTTTATTTTTTGGTAATTTTAGTAGATATGGCTACTCAATCTACTTCCAAAAAGGCAAAAATCACATTGCTTTCGTTTTATAAGCCTAGTACAAGCACACAAAGTAGACAAGAGTTAAATGTCTCTAATATCTCATCCGCTCAAGAGGAAGTAATTTCTGGTGCACTTGAAATTGAGCAGGATCCGGAAAAACGGAAAACGATAAGTGATCGGCCGTTAGAGAAAAGAGATGAAATTAGACGATCTTATTTGATGCTTGGACCTTATCAACCAAAATTGAACTTTTACAAAAGCCGAGTTTACAAAGATAGGATGCGTCGTTTTCAAGCCAATTGGTTCAATGAATTTAATTGGTTGGAATACTCTCCAACAACATTGTATGTATTGTTTAAAAATATTACTATGAATTTTAATCATTATGTTCACACTATTGTCACTTTTAAAATTTGTATATAATGTTTTTAGAATTTTAGTGTATAGTTGGCCTAGGTAAACATCCATCCTGGCTCCTGGCTCCGCCCCCGGACATAACAAAATCTAGTGAACCATGGCGGTTCAAATTCCATCATTTTGGAAGATGGTTTTAGATTGATAGTAACTTTGAATTGTAAAGGAAGTTCGTATAAACTTAAGGCTTATGCTTAAAACTGCCTTGAAGCTTATACCTTGTATCGCATAAGCAAAATGCCTCAGGGCTTGCAAGGGTCATTCTAAACATTGATTGGCTTTAGGGTTGGAGATTATTGTACAACTAGCTTTTAATTTTGACTACTTAATTATGTTCTTAGAATGCCATTTTGTTACTTTTGAGATATTATATTAAAATCATGCAAAGTTTTAGTTTTTATTTGTTATGCTCTATAGGGATTTTTCTTCCAGAAAAGATGCATCCTCCCCTAACATTGCATCGGCACCCAATGTGTTCAGAAGTAAGTTCATTCAAAAGAACACTATTCCCTCGATCTAAACAAAAGAGTCATGTTTCTAACCTTTTTGATCACTAAGGCTAATTTTTCATTTAGCTTACAAAAAAATGTTAACAAGTCATAGATAAGTTACACATGGTAATTATAGGCAAATCAACAAATGAGCTTTACAAAATATAAATATGATTCATAATTATGCCATTTATACCTTATTACAATGGACATATGGGTATGGAGAGCCTAGGGGTAGATCAATGCAATGGTAAAATCATCTTAAATTTGCCCTTGAATTTTCCAGCCTATCCTTTCCATTAGGGGGGGGGGGGGGGGGGGGGGGATAAATTTAAGATCTTCTTATACTGGCATAATACTCTCCTTGAAGGGGAGCCTTGGCACACCGGTACAATGATGTTTTGTGGTAGGGAGGTCAGGTTTCAAGTCGTGGGACATCTCTTTGTCCAAATGACAAGGGAAGGCTGTCCTCCTATACACTTGTGGTGGGATCCATCCCCAGACACTTGTCTCATGGGGACGCCAATCTGCACGGGCTGCCAAAAAGAAACTCTTTACATGCCATTATTCTATCAAAATTTAAAATTTGCGGGTTGGTCAAACATGATTCCTTTTTCTAGGACAAGGTCATACGAAGTATTTTAGGTACTGTCGTAAGCGGTGTACAACAAATGAGAGAAATATACTATATATTTTACACAGCAATGTGACTTTTTCCATGATCAGATTATTGAGGAGTTCCAAAAATGTCATCTGGATCATCCTATTGGCAAGTTCTTTGGAGAATGCACTGATCTGAAGATAAAGCTCGACCGATGCTTTAGACAAGAAGTAAGTTCTTTGTTCAGACCCTTATTTTAAATTCGCAAGAAAAAAGCCAATAAAAAGTGTTTTTTTTGCAGAAAGCTGTGAAGCGGAAGGCGAACTTTGAGGAGAGCAAGAGGTTTAAAGAGAGCTTGCGCGCATACAGGAAAGAAGCTAACGAGGGCAATAGCCAAGAAAACTCATTTGCACAAGCTTAGTAACCTGCTAATGCATATTTATCCGTTGAGAAAGAGCAGTTGCCTAATTGCAGCATCTTATGGAGTTGATTTTCGCTGCACTATTTACTCGATGTGTTGCTGGAATCTCCAAAGCTTTGGAGAGATTTCTGAATAGATGATTTGACACTTGCTAATTGCAGTTCATTTAGGCCGTTGCAATAGTGATAAAAACGTCGTTTGATTTTAGTCTATCGTCCATGGCCAGTTCTTTGTGTTTGGCACAGTTTGGGCGGGTAACCGTGTTTATGTGTTATTCGGGTTAACTCAAATAAGCAGCTTGAATTATTCAACCGTTAAGAATTGTTTTTTATTTAAATTACTTCAAGCACATACTTTGTACGTAGTACGGAGTATTATTTAGTATACCTTAACAGCTTAACTATGAGTAATTTATTTGTAGCAATGTTCTTATTAACCATAATGTTATGGATATATCCTATTTAGCTGAATCGTAAATACTACTATATACGGAGTACTATTTACTAATACTCAAAAGGCAAAACAACCATATTTTAATATACTCACTTTATCAATCACGTTATCTTCTATAAGAGTTGTGATGTTATATCGATAACATTTCTAATCCTCACGATTCAGTACATGCTGCAACAAAAACCAATCTTAATTGCTTTAGGCTAGGAGTGGACTCGGGCCGGTTCGGGCCTGGGCCCGGCCGGGCCTCGGTTCAAGAAGGGGAGGCCCGGAATCGGCCCGGGTAACCCCCGGGTCCGGGCCGGGCCGGGCCGGGCCTCGGGTATATATATTTTTTTTTTGGGCTTTTCCTAGTTAACCCCCACCCCTCCCCCTCACCCCCAAACCAACCCTAACCACCTCAAATGACCCAAAATAACCAGCCCAACCCAAAAACTCAAAAAAAAATCAAAAAAAAAATTAAAATTGGCCCGGCCCGGGCCCGAACCGGTCGGGCCGGTTCACCTTTTGAAGGGCCCGAGCCCGAACCGAGAATCCACCGGGCCGGGTGGCCCGAACCGGCCAACGAACCGGTTCCCGGGCCGGTCCGGGCCCGCACAGTGGCGGGCCGGTCCGGTTCCGGGCCGGTTGGCCCGGCCCGAGTCCACCCCTACTTTAGGCTTGACCAAAGCGCCTTTTCAAGGCTTTTTAATCCACTTTACTGAACTTGCAAGTGTCTTCATGTTTCTGCGGAGATCAATCCACCCCTTGACCTCATTCTACGTGGGACCGTTTTTATGTGCTTTTTCTGATGATGCAATTGATGCATTGGCGGACTCTGATTTTGTAACATGATACCAATATATATATACACATACATACATTATATATACTATTAGCTAATATTTTTTAATAATTACCCAATGTTATCATGTTTTGATTTACAAATCAAGTGTCGTGGAATTGATAATCCTTTGTTAGTATCATTATCGTGAGGCCTTTCTTCCCATGCAAAAGTTTGACATTCATATGTGACAAATGGTTACACCTATCACACAGTCGATTATGAACAAGACAGACCAACAATGAATAGTGGGTTATGTGTCACAACCATCGGTTCAGATAACTCAGAACCAATTTTTATGGTTTCTTGAATTGCATGAGATTCTCGAACTTCAAATGCTTTCTGGTGGGCAAGAATTGACATGGATTTTGTTCCGCTGCACATGGGTCGATCCTACACGTGTTGTGAGAAACAATTCAAAGTATAATATAATTGACGTCAACCACTCTCGCGTGTATCGGAAAAACGAGCCTTTTATACTCGCTCAACAAGCAGCTCAGGTGTACTATGCAGAGTATCTTTCAACCATGCACACACCGAATCCTTGAGTGTGTGCATGTACAGTCTGTTCGAGCAAAATTGGATCACAGACTCAACACAAGGATGCTGATTTTGATGCTTTTCAGTAAGATGTTTTCCAACCTTCGCCTATTGCTGAGACGGTCAATCATAACATTGAGTTATGTGATATAAATGGCCGACATGTTGAAGTCATGCCAGAAACATACCCGCACAACCTCAATCTGAGCGCAAAATTGTTGAAATGTATGAACAAGATCAACAAGACTCTGAACAGGAGGAAGAAGAAGAATGGATAGATAATAATGAAGATACAGAAAAAGAAATTTAGAATGAAAAAAATAACGATTATGATAGCGATTAATTCTATCGTTAATTTGTATAACCAATGTAATCACTTTCAATTCAATTGTTTTAGTTTGAATTTTTTACTTTCTTTTTTCATCATTTAAATAATTATTACATATTATATTCTAGTCATGTAACACCGGACCCGAATTTTACCCAGAGTTTTTTTTTTCTTCAAGTACATGGTTAACGAAGGTAAATCAAGACTAGAGTAACCTTGATAAATGAGAAAGATGAAATTCTTGTCTTAAATTAATAAAGGATTATTAATCAGACGCGGGACCCACATCGGGAGCGGAGACCACCCGTGGTATTCTTAGCGTATAAAAAAATTAATGTTGATCTAAACAATACTATTTTGATAGTAGGAATGGGTCGTGGACCCCGTGATATAAGAATGACAACTGGACGGCCAAGTGGGCCGGGGCCACTATTTGATAATTGTGAGCCCTTAATTATTTGGAAGATTATGAATTAATGATAGAAGAAAAATAAATAATTTAAGAATCTAAAACAATTACTTTTATCTGTTCATACACTTTGGACATTTAAAAAGAAGTGCAACATTTTATTAAAGTGTCACAAAATATCAAAACACATATTGAGTCGTGAGAAATGACTAATGAATTTACGAGATGACGCGTTCTCATTTTTACTGTTACTTGAACAGTAAAATGCACGTTGGGCCCACACATGGTTAGGAACCATTCGATATTTACGGACCACATATTATATTCATTCTGGTCTAGATGATATTTATATGATGGTGTAAATTACATTTGAGCCATAAAGTGGCCTTTCGATCAAACGAAGTCTCATTACCAGTATTGGTAATTAATTAGATAATAGCCTGAAATAACTTCCGGGAATGATGAAATTAAAGTTGGATGATATATATTCACTCTAAAGATCAATATTGATTGGAAGAATGATATATATTTTATTTGACCCGATAAAAAGAATGTTAATTAAAACAGTCCGAAAAATGCAACTTTTGGGTTCGAATACACACTTCGGGGTATAAAGGGATGACCTCCCACATGAGTGGAGGCCACCCCACGACTTGAGACCATGCAAAAGAGGGAGGAGAGCGACCTACTTGACTGGAGTGTAATAAGAAGTGATGGGGGAGACATAATATTAAAAGAAAAGGGACCCTCCTTCATTATTTTTGGAAGATGACAAAGAATCATACTCTCACTCACCCACCTTCATATCATTTCGACTCTAGCATCAATTAGGGAGGAATAGGGTCTCAAAAACATCATCTCTACCACTTTACTCGAACCAAGAACAAAGAGGAGGAAGCAAGCAAGAAAAGAGAAGAAAGAATAGGAAAGAAAGAGGAAAACTTGGAAAATCAAGGTAATGACTTCAATAGTATTTGTCTTCTGCATTCAAAGTATTCAATGTTCCCAAAGCTTTCAAGAGATCTAGTCATCAGCTCGTGAATTCTCTGCATTGCTTCTGCATTTATCGATCTCATCAACTGTGTAACTAATTTCAGTTGTTGTAGACTTCTACACATAAACTTCCGGTCAATTGGTTCTGGATTAGTCATATTTTTCATTTAAAAATCGGCCTGCAGAGCACTATTTATAGATAAAATTGTCACGGATTTGTCACGGATTGGGACGTGACAAAACCGTATTTATTCGTCTGATGGACGGATTGCCCGATAATCTGATAATCTGACAAGGCGGCTCTCCAGGGATTATCTGATAATCTGATAATCTGACTACAGAAACCTGATTTAAGAACCAAATAAATAACTTAACAAGACAATTGAATTATCTATTATTTTATCCAAGAGAGCTCGAAATAATAGGCATGATATGTACTCTAATAATCCACTCAAACAACTTAATTAATCATATTAAAGTTGGTCAAAAATTAACATAATCAATTAAGAGAATAAGAACAATGGATAAAACTCAGTACTTGACTTAACTAAAATCACAATGGATAAAATTAAATCCCAGCAACTTCATCATAATCTGAACTTAAGAATTTAGCTACTCATATCAAATAGAAAACTAGTAAAACAATAGGAAATAAAGAGTTCATGTTAACAATAAAGAAATCAAGAAATTGTGCCAATACTCAAATAATGAGTCAAAGAACATAAGCTTTTGCGACTGATTCAAACCAGCAATTTATGGAACAGTGAATGATTCCTTCCTCCGGTATTTTGCAGCCTGAAAACCAGAAGAACCGCGTGTAGCCCACCCCCCTTCTCCTTCGGCCCTCGGCCCTCAGAACCGCTGCGTTTTTTTATATCCTGGAGTCTCTCACCCGCTGCACTCCTCTCTTTGTTTTAGGGCTTTTCGTTCCTTTTTCTCTTGATTTTTGCACTCCACATATGTTTGAAGTTTCCGGAACCACACACCCATGTCTGAACTCTGAAGTTTCTAAAGTGAGGACGAGCCTAGAAGCTAGATCTATATCTTGTGATTCCTTCGGCCAACAACTCCGGCCAGTAGGTAGAAATGGCAGACGAGATTGCCTGTGAGCTGCGCACAATTCATGATACTTCCCTCCCATTCGAGCTCGATGTTCATCTAATTCCAGTTGCGCGAAATGAGTTCGATGAACCGCAACTGGCCGGCCCTTATATTTGCTCCTTCACCATCAAAACTGAAGTTATGCGGACAAAAAGTCACTGATGCTGAAATGTTGGAAAAAACTCTATCCACTATGCATCTTTCAAATATGCTTTTACAAGAGCAATATAGACAAAAGCACTTCACTAGTGTAGAAAAACACTTTCTATATGGGTTAAAAAGCACTTTTTATGTCGGTTCCCGTAACGACATAGTAGCCAGCGATATAGAAAATCGGGCTCTTTTCGTGTCGGGTAGTCATACCCCTTGTAGAATGTTTTTTATAATGGTTACGAATTTAACCGTTATCGAATGTTTTCCGTGTCAGTTCAGTAATACCCCATATAAAATCCTCTTTATATGGGATAAAAAATAATCTATATCAATTCACTATACCCCTTATGGAATGTTTTCCATATTGGTTCATAATAACCTCATATGGAACGTCTTTTATAATGCAAATGATACCCTGATAATTTACCCCAATATCAATTTATTGTACCCCAGCATGAAAATTTTATAATGTTCATTCACTACTATATCCATAAATAAACATCACTCACAAACCATATATCAAATTAAAATATTGTATATTAACCATAGTATAGTTTCAAATTATCGTTGATACACCAACAAAATATTGCATATGACTTTCAAACATGCCAAAAATAGTATCATCTAAATCTAATTAGATAAATACTAAATCTAATTAAATAAATACTAAATGCTAGTAGCTTCACAGAAAAACGCTGCCTAATCTTCTCGAATCTCATTGATATCTTCTTCTTCTTCTTTAAATGGATCTTGAACATTGAATACCTATACAAGATGAAAAACATTATATTAGTATCAAATAAAATAAAAAGAAATACAAAAAAAATAAAATAATGAAACATAAGTGGCTCTATCCATCATCAATACCAACAAATTTGAAACCATAATCATTCCTCTGCTACTAAACTTTGGAAAACAATATGTGGAAACAAAACAGAGCTGTCCCATAGAGATCAAAGAATAAAATCATATCGGTAACACTGTAAGCACTTATACACATAGTATGGTGCTGCTCGAGCAAAGCCAAGGGCTTTGCACACCCCAATTTAGCAGCCTTCGCACCAAGCCAGGCCGCCCCTGTCCCGCTCTTGCTTCCTCTCAATTTGAGTCTGATTGAAATTCAACTTGGGTAGGGCGCAGTTGATATTCCAAAACTTCCCTGCTAGCTTTCTCTTCATCCTATACTGCTAAACTCTAACATCCCTTGCTGTTAATAACAATTTGGACTTTCAAAATAACAAGATCAACTGCCAAATCATATTAAAAAGAATGCTAAAAATATCTTTAATCCAAATGAATTGTCAAAACATGAATGGTGCACTCAAAACATACTGCCTACTAAACATCTAAGAGTTTCATTTCATTAACATATCCTAGTCTACCATGCCACACATTGGAAGACTCAAGCAAGTAAGCAGAAGAGATTTTATTATTATTATTAATAGTCATTACATTGAGCTTAAACAGCCCATCAACTGCATACCCCTTCCCCACATACATTCTCGATTTGGACAAAACTAGTTTGTCCGACTCAAAGACCATGCGGAACCCATGCTTGTTCAACAAAGAGCCCGAGATCAAGTTTTTGCGTATCTCCGGGACGTACAACACATTGTTGAGAGTCAGCTCCTTGCCCGAAATCATCTTCAGGACCACCTTGCCCATGCCTTCAACCTCGGAATGAGCAGAATTCACCATCCACACCTTCTAACCGTTTGATGGCTCAAAGGTTGTGAATAGATCCTGGTTAGAGCAAATGTGCCGGGTTGCACCGGTGTCCACGAACCACTCCTTGGAATTGGATCCAACGAGGTTGACTTCGGTAACCACAGCCGCTAGGATGATGTCTTCATCCTTTTGCCCACCTTGCATCAACTTGACTTGGGAGTCTTTCTTCTTCCGTGGTGCCTTGCAATCCGAGGACTTGTGTCCATTCTTGTTGCAATTGAAGCATTTTCCATTAAATTTGGGTTTGGAAATGCCTCCCTTGGGACCAAGCTTGCTCTTCCCATTATTTTTATTTTTGGAGCCTTTTGCATGCTCCACCACATTGGCCTTGGCGCCGCTAACGATTGGGAGTCTCCCATCGTTCTTCCGATTATCCTCTTCAATCCGCAGACGGAGGATCAACTGTTCCAAGTTCATTTCCTTTCGCTTATGCTTAAGGTAGTTCTTGAAATCCTTCCAAGCCGGCGGCAATAAATGGATAATTGACGCCACTTGGAAAGACTCGCTAACCGTCATTCCTTCATCTCGAATTTCGTTGAAGATCATTTGCATTTCTTCAACTTGACTCAAGACCGTCTTCGAATCCACCATTTCAAAATCAAGGAATCGACCGACAACAAATTTCTTTACACCGGCATCCTCGCTCTTATATTTGTGGTCCAAAGCATTCCATAGCTCCTTAGCCGTAGCTAATTTACTATACACGTCGTACAGAGCATCATGCAGCCCGTTCAACACGTAGTTTCGGAAAAGGAAGTCAGAATGCTTCCAAGCCTCAACCGCGTTGAAAGTTTGCGCATCCACCTCACCCCCGGTTACTACCGGCGCATCCTCAGTCAAGAAACGTGCAAGACCGAGAGTAGTGAGATAGAAGAGCATCTTTTGCTGTCACCTCTTGAAGTTTAACCCATTAAATTTTTCGGGTTTCTCCACAAAGTTGCTCGGCACGGTCACCATAGGGATAGCCCTTTGGTTAACCAAAGCAGATGCACCGCGTTGTGAACTATTGTTCACCGGAGCTCCGCTTTCAGAGTGATTATCGTTCAAACCGTTCAAAGCATTCTGCCCAACAACATTTTCATTTTCTTGAGAAGTCATTTTTCGTTTCTTACGTTATCTTTAGAAGATAGATTTTCGGACGGCATTCGTGTGTGCAGGTCGCCCGCACATGCAAGTCGCGGTTTTTGTTCTTCGGTTTCGGGATTTGATTCACACCCCCCTGCGCGTGTGAGAGAGCCTTTTTCTTTAGGAATCTTAACTCCTTAGGGGGGGTTTCCCTTTATAAAGGGTTCAAATTCCCTTGTGATTTTCGGTGTGGGAAAGAACCCACACTAAAACCCACATTTTCCTAGTTTTCTCCATTCCAACCGGTAAACTTCGAAAAACAATTTCTCATTCACCCGTTATCCGTTTTGAGTGTACCATATATCGAATTGTAGCCCTTAGCCATGACAATCCGAAACCACTTTGACCCGACCCAAATCGGAAGTGGACCCCACTCAAATAATTGCCCCAAAATGACCGTTTAATACACTTTTAACACACTTTTTCCAACATCCCTTGTATCAGAAACTAATAGCAGTAAATGTAATAAAATTCAGAAACCATCTAAAAAACCTATAATGCATATGGTCCAAATAAAAGCAAAACATAGATAGTAAGGAGAATTGTAATTTCATTGGGGGTGTCAACTTATTGAGCTTTGACATTCTGTTAAGGTCCATAACATCCACTGAAGTGCATATCCCATAATTTTGATTATCTTATAACCTAGAAAGTTACAAGAACAATTAAGAAAATACAGCACCAAATCCACACAATAATTGTTTTTTTTTAATGAATGGAGGTTGGGTTCATCAAAGCTTTTAAACATACATAAATGAGACATGACCAGAAAAAAAAATTAAAATAAATCTCAATAACTTCAGAGTTCAGCTTTCTATTTCTATATCATTAATTGACTATTAAAAAATTGACAACTAGATAGAGAGGGAACTCAAGAAAAAGTTATAATGTGCTTGACGTGTATAAAACTTCCAATTTGGTGCATATTGACTCACTCTAATCTTTCACGGGAATTGCCTGTAGGTACAACAAAGAAACTAAAATTAGTATCTACTAATTTGGACAGTAATGAATTTGGCTTATAAAATCTTATTATCCTAGCTAAAGGATGATGAAGTTGCACCAGGCTAGAGACCAGTAGAAGCACTCGAGGCTAGAGACCTGTAGAAGCACACATTATAAAGAAAATCATATAATGGGTGTTTAGACATCATAAGCTTGATTAGCTTTTACATATTTTTCTAAATGTGAAGTTATAACTTATAAGCTTAATTATCCCTTTATCCCTAAATGTCACTAACACTGTTATACAATCTTCCTTCTCAACGATATAAAAACCAAAAATTACGTATACCTGCTCATATCGTACACAAAACATTGATGATACAACAATTTATGCTTAAATTAGTTAAGTACATATAGTATATGCATTGGAAAATTTTAATTGTACTTCATAAAATAACTTAATAAGTGATTTGGTTGGGAGGCCTGTTAATCAATCTAAATTGATAATTTTGTTAATTGAAGTACAATGTTCTAGTTTTCTCCAATTTTAATTATGTTTAGTTCTTTTTATTCTACTTTAGCTCTCACATACTTGTAATTAATTAATTCTTTCAGTTTTTAGGGATTATTTCATCTCATAATGTTTAGGTAAAAAATGTAAATGTATCTAGGAATTATAATTTGTAGATGCAGTAAATGATTTAAGGTTATCACAAAACACTACAAGAAATCACGGAATTTAGTGGCGGAAAATCCGTCACTAAATCTGCCACAAAAGGGCTTATTGGCAGATATCTATGGTGGATCGTTCGTCACTAAAATCTGGAAGCTATTGTGTTTAGTGGCGGAAAAGTAATTCCATCACAGATCAGAGACTTAATTTAGTGGCAGATTTATCCGCCACTGTGTTTTGTGACAGAGTTTCAGTCACTAAATTCCGCCACTGAATCTTTTATATTTAAAAAAAAATATTTTGTATATATTTATAAATGACTGTTTTTAAACATCATTTGTACTTTAAAATCAAAAGTTTTTAAAACATAAAGAATCCGTTCAAAATAATTACAAAGTAAACGTATAAAACATTAAATTTGAACACTTAAACATACAAATAAATAATAGCAATAAAATTCACCAGTGTGGAGTTTATTATAATAAACCCACAATAAAATGTAGTGTAATATAAGAATATTCCAAAAAATACATGCTTCACATTACTATTGTTTAAAATGTGTACAAAACATTTGAAAGCTAAAACTACATGTCCAATGGGTAATGAGTGTTCATGCAAGTCTTGAGAGCTCCGAGATGGAATCCGGTTGTGGGAAGAAACTTGGACATTGCAGGGCAGCTTTTGTTTCATTAGATATATCAATTTCAACTTCAGATGATTGTGTTTGTACACTTTCAGCTTCATAAAAAGCATGATTAACCTGTTAATAGTCTCCTACAAATAAAAATCAAGGGGTACACGTCACTACACATCCAAAGTACTAGATACATAATCACTTTAACCCAATTGATAAAAATGTAATCTAATTTAATTGTAGATTGGATTCCTAATTCTGCAAAAAATAATAAACAATCAAATATACTAACAACTCAATTAGGCAATCTTATTACACAACATATCGCAGAAAATGTGTACTTGGTATATGAGTTTGCAAGTTTGCAGTTTAAAAGCTTAGGTTTTGCAGTATATTTTCCCAGTTTGCCTCCCCACCAAAAAAATCAAACATTATTTCCAATTTTTGCAATGAAAAACAATGAAAAATAAACATCACCATCTCTAGTTTGTTCTTGAGCCTGGCAGCCCCGAGTTCTTCAAATGGAACCACCTTTTATTTCTTCTTTCAAAAGTATCCATGTACTACAAAAAAGGATATATTAAAAATCAGCCAAAATGATCTCATCCCTGTAATTCAAAATATCACCAATGAACCAAGCAAGTAGGATTAATGACATGAAGATTACAACAACCTGTTTAATGAAACAATTCATCTTAAAATTCAATCAGAATTTTGTATTTAAAATAGGAAAACAGCTGAAATTCACAACATTGTCACTACATTCAAAACTCAAAGCAAGTGAACAATATCTTTTTAATAGCAAACAACCATTCAACCTGAGATTACTTGATCTTTGAAGACAACCTGAAATGAAGAGAGTATACATTTAAAGATGCATTGAATGTCATAGTTATTAATTAAGAAAGTCTAGGCTAGTGTTAAAGTTGGATTTCAATAAAGCAATTGATAATGCTATAGATCCTAGCAGATCCATCAAAACTTTTATGTGTAAACACTAGTGGAACTATAGGTGAGTCCCGATTCTTTTTGGTGCAAAGTTTCCAAAAATCATCATCCATCGGTTGATTTTGAATCCAAAGACTCTAATATTTAGAAGAACATAAAAAACATGACTGTTTCGTGAAGCTGAATATCATATGATTTTCTGGGAAAGGGGAGATTTTTATTTGACTAGTGTTTGAGTTCTCTGAATTTTCGAAAAGGGGGGTGCAGCTAAAAATTCCAGAAACTTGCCTAGCTACATATATTTGGATTTATAGATAAAACTATGCGTTTGTATTTAAAAATTGAAAGAATTCATTATAATGGAAACCAGAAAGATACGGAATCGAAACAATGAAAGTGAAGAAAACAGTAACGGCAAAATGTTACAACAAATATGTTTAGATTACAAATAGATGAATTGCCGAATGAGAATTTCGGAATCACTGCGATTGAAGTGATACGAACATCGCTATTTGCAAAAAAATCAACAGCGACACACACACACCTGTACCGGATATTGAGGAAGGAAGCGAGCCACGCTAGGGGCAGAGCTTAAAGAGCTAAGCTAGGGTTCTGTAGATCTGGTTTGGCGCTTCTGCCTTTCTTACCGATATGAAGATGGAGATAGCTAGGGTTTTTTCTAATTGATTGGGCATGGTTAGAGTTTGTGAGATGGGAAGTGTTTGTGAGTGGGTTTATTTGGCTGGAGAGGAGGGAATTCGGAAAAGAGGGATAAAATGGAGGGAGCGAAATTTTTGCTCGAAATTTTTGAAGGAAAGGGGAGGGAGTGAAAAGTTTGGTTTGAAACTTTATACGGAGCATTAGTGCGCACCGGTTTTTTTAAACTCTTTTTGAAAGTTCTAATGAAAGTTTCACAAATTAAGACTTAATGTTTAATTATAATTTTTTACCTGTTGTTGTTCTTTTTTTTAGTTAACGAGTTTTTATTCAATTATTATGAAAATGTTCAATAAACAATATTATTTAATGCTTGAGTTTGTTTGATTTCTTTTTTCAATCAACCTTATAACTTATATTTTTTAATTTGTGCATTATAAAATAGCGGAATATTCAATAATCAATCATGGACCACACATGGCCAAAACGTGGACCCGCATGCCCAAATCAATGTATTCATTACATAAATATCCATGAGCATAGTTTGTAGTTTAACACAGTAAAGGAAGCATGAATCGCATGTTCCTTTGGATCACTCCACCGAGAAAGGTGTAGATAGAAGGCTTTACCTTCAACCTGAAATGGTGTGCACCCCCCCCCCCCCCCCCCCCCAAGGGATCAGTACGTGAATACTGAGCGAGCAGTAGGTTGAATGTAGCATAACCAACGTTTCAAGTATAAGACCCAAACATAGGTTGATACATACACATATAGTCCTTTCCGTCAAATTATGAAATACATGTCGGTATATATACATGATGGAGTAAATGGCCCGGGAACCCCCGGCCCACAGACTCCTACTACTCCAATAAAGGCCCAATAGGCCCAGGAAGCACGACAGGCCCAAATCACGGCGCCCAAGGCACCAAGCAGCCCACAATGCGCACCAGGGGTCCTTCGGCCCCCTGGCCGAAGGCCCTGAACCTCACAGAAGGGCCAAAACAGGAAAACAAAGTTACTGGGAAGAACGGCGAAAATCAGTAGCCCTCGGCACCTGGAGCCCTCGGCACTAAGGGGGTCCCCGGTACTCAGAGCCCTCGGCTACTCCTCTACAGCCGAGGGCACCTTTTCCGACATGATATCCGCTCCACATGCGTATAGATCACCGTACCAAGTACGACGTCACATCCAACAGCCACATTTAATGCGGCCACATGCGGTTGCCAGCGCCAGCCAGTTGAGGTGACCCCTCAGCCAATGGATGCTTGACACGTGTCCCTGTCTGGCATTTATTGCTACTATAAATAGCACCCCATTTCCCCAGTTGTAACCAAGACACAAGAAGCAAATACGCTGAATACTTTCTAATATACTCTCTCTCTCTATTTACTTGCTCTGACTTCTCTCTAGTTATTCCCCGTAATAACCCCTCGGATAAGCTACCCTCTGGGTACACTATCCATCATTTGGTGCTCTCGTTGAGAGGTCGAACAATCAAGTACGAAACCCTCCCCCTCGACCAAACACAAGACACCCAGCTAAAATGGTGAGAACAACTCGTGCCAACTCCAAAAATGTAGAGGACAGGAACCTGGCCCTCGGTGAGGTCGACGTCCCCGAAGCCTCCAACAGGGCTCTCGGGGGCGGCGTCATCGTCGGGTTGGACCAGACGGCTGTCGACCTACGCCAGCAGATTCAACAAAATGCCCCCGATGCCCGCCTCGGCATCGAGGCCAAGAAGAAGGACCGGAGCGAGAATCAAATTAGCCCTCCGGTCATCACAATCGACGTGCAATCGGCGCTCTCCGCCTTCATCCAGACGCTCACCCAGAACCCGGGTGCCTTCGGCACTTTGGTTCCCCTCCAACCTCAGGTGGGGGAGAATATTATGCCTCCCCCTCATCCACGACCCCTCGGTAACCCGGTCCTCCGGATGGGGAACTCCGAGGGGGTCGTGGCCCAAGATACGGCCTCCCAGGAAGTTCAGTCTCGGGACCGCCACAACATAAACAAGGAACAACTCCGGACCTCCGCCCTCGAGAGACTCGGAGGGGCGCAAGACCGCCGAGGGGTCCATGACCGCCTCGGGGGGAAGGCGTTCCAGAGGCCTCAGGAAAGTGGCGGGTCCGTCTCCAGGGCCAATGAAAGGCGTCCTCCTCAGGACAAAGGCAAGGCACCTCTCCATGCCAACGAAGCCCGCCACCAAATCAACCAGGCCCACTCGGCCCGGGTCCATTCGCAGGGGGCGGAGGCTCTCCTTTTATCCTTTTATCTTTTTATTATCCTTTTATCCCTAAATGTCACTAACACTGTTATACAATCTTCCTTCTCAACGATATAAAAACCAAAAATTACGTATACCTGCTCATATCGTACACAAAACATTGATGATACAACAATTTATCCTTAAATAAGTTAAGTACATATAGTATATGCATTGGGAAATTTTAATTGTACTTCATAAAATAACTTAATAAGTGATTTGGTTGGGAGGCCTATTAATCGATCTAAATTGATAATTTTGTTAATTGAAGTACAATGTTCTAGTTTTCTCCAATTTTAATTATGTTTAGTTCTTTTTATTCTACTTTAGCTCTCACATACTTGTAATTAATTAATTCTTTCAGTTTTTAGGGATTATTCATCTCATAATGTTTAGGTAAAAACTGTAAATGTATCTAGGAATTATAATTTGTAGATACAGTAAATGATTTAAGGTTATCACAAAATCAAGTTTTAATCGCAGTATGTATAGTAGACTAAGAACAACAATTTGAATTTGATGTGAAATTATATGAAGTCTAAGATTTCAAAGGCTAAGAATTTTGTTAATCAAAATCATCTAAGAAGAGTAGAAGACTAGGAAGACAAAAAAAAAAAGATAACCAACATGTGAATACGTACTTAGAGTATCCGAACTACAATACTTGTGTTTATCTTACTCTTGAATCAGTCATATATGAAGTAATTGAGAGATTCTGAATGCAAGATATCCACTCCACTACTGTTTGTCCCTGTTTATACGATTTACAGCAATACAGATTGATATAACAAAGATAGAGAAGCAGAAAGATATACACTCAGATCTTTTAAACTCGTCTTTGATATACCGTGAACTTTACAAACACAAGGATGAGCGCTAAGGCTGATAAGATCAATATGCAAAGTTAACGCAAACCTAAACCTAAAGCGCCTTTTTATATGCGCAGGTATAAGGTTTGCGTAAAGACTTTCAGCCTGATATGGGCCTGATACATTGGCCCCATATCTTTTATACCCTAATAAATACAAACATAAATAACAAAGGATATAATAAAAGCTAATCTATTACAAGACATATGACAAGCTTGATTCACAATAAAATGATCTTCAACAATCTCCCCCTTTGTGATCAAGTGCCGTCTTGCTTTTATTTCTGAGCTCTGAAGTAGTGTTTCCTGAAGTTTAGCGCATGCTCATATGATCTCAATGACCTTCTCTTGTCAAGTTGCTTGATGATAGGCTTCAGAATAGTTTCAACTTTGTCGCATTCTCTCAGCTCTTCATCGGTGGCTTCAGCAAGTCTTTGATCAATATCTTCTTTGATAGGCATTAGCTTTTGTTGAATGACTTTTAAAGTCCCATCACAATATTTGTGTATGTCCTCTACCTACATCAGGCGCTTTTTCTGTTGATGGTTGAGATATAGATTTGAGGGTGGATCCGTAAAGATGTGGTAGGGTTCATATTCCTCAAGCTCTTCTCCATACAGAGTCGGCCTAGTGAGATTTGCCTTCCGAACATTGTTCTCGAGAGCCATTTGTAGGTCATGAGCAGCATGGAATCTGATCTGTCTGAGCATAAAGCGCTTAATTGCCTCAAATCCTTCTGTGTAGACCTTGTTGTGATTCAGCGGAAGAAATCTGCAGACCATGAACATCTGGTAGATTTCATCCATGTTCATCATAATGAAGTCGTTCTCCTGACAGGTGAATTCACTTGAATCAGTGCGTTGAACTCTGAAGCCGTAGAAGGGTACTGAGTGGTGGTCTTCTTTATGTATGTCGAGAATAGCATGGATTGGATGAATGCTGGACCTCATGACTTGCTCAAGAATCTGTCGTTGTTTACCCGATGACCTATGATGTAACATGTGTAGATGTCCGCCTACTAATTTGCCTTTCAGGTGTGTGAGGCCACGGATTTTTAGTTCGTTTAGCTGCTTAAGTTTGTCTGGTTTCCTCCAGACTCCATTTCAGATTTCCTTTTGAAAGGGGGCATTGATTCGTAGGTTCTCCCAAGGCTTCGCCGTTGTTGGCATTTGACCTGCTGATTGTCGAATAATCGATTCAAGTTCCTTGGGAGTTTTCTTGTAGTCTTCCCCTTTCTTGAGTTCCTCTTCATCAAGGCGTATGATGTCTTCAGCACATTTTGCAAGCAATTCACGTAGCCACCAATTCCGTTGCATGTCCTCAGTTTCAGCTTCACATCTTAGATCATCCCACTTAGTCCATTTCCTTGGCCAATTGTCATGTATCACCGCATCCTCCAGCGCGTCATGCATATCTTTGTTTGGAGGAATATATGAGACTCTTTGCTGCTGTCGGAGCGGTGATGTTGCTTGAGAAGCACTGCCGGGTTCACTTGGATCGCCCATTGTCATCTGCTTTGAACTGGGTTCTGGCTGATGGCCTGACTTAATAGATGTATCAGAGATAGCACCGTCAGGACTTCCATCCCCTCCTCGGACAGTATCTCTTGGAGATAAGCTTCGGGATGTTGTCATCAGGTTTGAAAATTGTTCTGACTGATGGCCTGTACTTGGTGATGTACCAGAGGTAACATCGACAGGACTTCCATCCCCTCCTCGGACAATATCTTTTTGAGATAAGCCTCAGGATGTTTCAACTAGCTCGACCGTGCTAGTGAGCTTGTCTTGGTTGTGGCTAGTAGTGGGTGGTTGTTGGTTGGTTGGAGATGGAGGTGAGGGTTGAGTTGGTTGCGGGATGTGGCTAGAAGAGGCACCTTGCTCAAGTGTCCGGGGCCGCTTGTTCTCCCCCTCATGAGGTTCCAAATCGTCGGGGTCCTCATGGGAACGTTTGTGGCCCCGGGGACTGTCACGGCAAGTGCTCAGCGGTGGGCGGTTATGTTTGTAGAAGACCGCCATCAGGTCTTTTTCAAAGGGGGTAAGGGTATACGTTTCAGAGGAGCAAAGGCGGAGGAAAAGGATATCGGCTATTTGAGGGGTAGGTATGGAGTAAGGATTTGGGTATGGTGTGGTCGACGTAGGGGAAGACACTAGCTGTGTGTCTTGGGTTCCCCCGAGACGGTGAAGGGAAGGGAAGTTGGTTGATGGATTGGTTAGATATTGGTTGGGTATGAGAGAGGAAAGGTTCGGGTGAGGGTTTGGGTGCGTGGTGTTTAGGCTGAAACGCTTGGGTGGTCCTAAATTCCTGTGCAAAAGCGGTCATTTCTCCTTGCACCCATGGTTTTATGGTGGAATCCAGGAAGCGATTCAGGAGAACATTGATATCCTCAAAGGTGGGATGGCCATTTACGGGGGTTGTAACGGTTGTCACAACATCAGTGAAGATAACTGATGTGTGGCCTGCGTTCAATGTTGGAGTCATTGTGGGCATAGCAGGACTTCCGACCGTCATAGCTTGCACTCTGGTCGTTGCATTCAGGGTGTGTGCACCCGTATGTGCAGTGAATAGTGTAGGTGTCCTAGAAAAAGAAGAAAATGTTGAAAATGTGACACCTAGACTCGATGTGTGGAAAGGAGGGGTTGTGACCTCGGGTGGTTGGCCAACAAATCGCTCAACTGATTCGGAAGGAACCAGAGAGGTGGGTGAGTCCCGTGTTTGTGAAACGAGAGCCTGTTGGGAGGCTAACGAGTGGCTAGGTGAGGGCTGTGCATGCGCAGGTGAGCCAGATGCTGCGACTTCTACCCGGGAACCGAAAAGATCGGCTCCTGTGCTTAGGGATTCAGCTCGGCTTATGCTGATAAAGGGGTCACAACCAGCAAAGATGTCCTCATCAGCTTTATCTACTAGGCTCTTCCTGATGCGTGGCTGTGGCTTAGGCTTTGATGATTTGTCGTTCTTGATTTTTGCCCGTTTCTCTCGGATGATGGCGTCCTCAGTATTTTTGATGACGTGTGCTGCTTCATCGTAGTCAGTCTTTGAGCTGCAAATATCTCTGTGCACACTCCGCGATTGGCGGACGTCCTTTATGGTGAACGTCTTTGGATGGCCGACGAGTATGGGTGCTGCGTCCTCAGCGGTTATCTTCTTTGGAGACTCAGCAGGCAGCTTACCCTTTCTGATCAGAGCATATGTGTGCTCAACATCGTTAACATCATCATCATCATCATTATCATCAGTATATGTATCTGTATCATCACTACCCACGCTATCGGATGCCTCATCGTCAGTTTTATTGGGAGCAGCACTGGACGATTCATCAGCAGAATCCTCCGCGTCCGTCGAGGTGCCCTCAGCCATCCGACTCATCTCGAGAGAGTCGTCGGACTTTCCTTCATAGGGCCAACGCGCCACTGGTTTCTGTGGCTTTGGGGCTCTCTTTGGACCCTCACGTTCACTCGGCTGTGTCCCCGGGGTAGGTCCAGCTGGGTTTTGCTGAACCATAGGGACTGTACTCAGAGCTTCTTTGTACTTGAGGACAGCAGGATTTGACTGATTGGCAAGATTGAGCAGGGACTCTGGGATCCGCAGTCCAGTTACGGGGTTTTTGTCAGCCTTGAAGTACAGAAGCTTGGGCGCGGAGAAGTGTGGATCATCACCTCGTCGAGGAATGGAGTGATGCACTGTCATGGTGTCGCGGATGATTAGCCCGAGCCACCTAGCATATTGGATGGTGCCCGACTTGTTTTTCTCCTCTGCCTTAACTAGATCAATGAGCTCTGAGAAGAACAACTCAGCCATGTCGTAATTTTTGTTGTAAGCAATGCCGTGGAGGATCAAGAGAATTTGCCTGTTACATTTGTCAAACCCAACATGCTTTGGTGACAGGCATTTGTTCACTAGCCCGAACAGGCTCTTCCATGGGTGATGGAGATATGCCCCGTTGAAATTTGATAGTTTGGGGAGAAGAGAAGCGTAGCCTAGAGCTGCAAAGTCCTTGAAAAGGTCGGGAATGGACGGCAAAGGATCATAGGTATCGTGGACTGGCAGCTCTAAGGTGGAGCGTAGTGTGGACGGCGTCAGGACTACGCGCATACCATTCAGTTTTGTCTTGATTTTGGAGCGATCCTTCACAGATTCAGTATGCATGTGTCCCTAGAATTGTTGTAGATATATCTCGGGCACTGGTTTGGCGCTGTTGAGTGCGGGCCAGAGATAGTGACCTCTCATGATCGCAGAGATGACCGGGTCCTGGCATTTGAACACGGTGAGGTCTAGCTGGAAGTTGTTATCCAGCACCTTGATCCACTTCCCTTGTGGGTAGATGGTGTCGTCAATTTGAGCTTGGTGTGTTCCTGCCATAATGAACTGTAAAAGCAGGGGGTGAGCACATTTGTCCGTTGTTTGTTTGTGTTGTTTTTGATAAATGATGTTTTTGGAGTTTTCAGAAAATGGGGTGCAAGTGGACTTTGAAAAAAATTTACCAAGTCAAAATCTCGAGATCTCGATCTCGAGGTTTAAATCTCGAGATCGAGATCTCGAGGTTTAAATGTCGAGATCCAGATATCGAGGTTTAAATCTCGAGAACAAGATGTCGAGATCAAGATCTCGAGATCTAAATCTCAAGATCTCTTCTCGAAGTTGAAACGACGAGATCGAGATCTGTAGTTCGAGAAACAGATCTCGCGAACTTTGAAAAAGATGAGATTTTGGGCGATGATTGACGAGAACAATTTGAAACCCTTTCCATTGATGTTAGCGAAGATTGGTTTACTACCTTTGAGTGATTTCGCGAGAAGAGAAGTAGGGGAGACGAAGAGTTCGAGAAGAAAGGTTGGAGGAGCTCTGGATTTCGAGAAGCAGGACTGACGAGGAAGATGAAGGTTTTAGGGTTCCAGACCGGCTTATATATGCGAAAACCTTAGGATTTGGGCCTTGCGAGAAAAGGTTGGGCCCGAAGCCTGAGTTTGCCCATTTAACTTATTTAAAAATGTTTTGAGGGCCCAAACTGTCAAAAATCAGAGCTCCCCTGGAGAAGTGCAAAGATGAAGAAGAAAAAAAAGAAAGAAAGAAAGAAAAAATGCAACGCACACTATGAACAGATGCAACGCACACACTTTTTTTTTATATTTTACGCTTTTTCTCCCCTTGACACATGCAACTCACACTATTTACAAGACCCACATACACACACTTTTTATAAGTCCAACACACACACCCTTGCACTTTACAGACCAGTGGAGATCAAATTACACGGGCTCGAGGTTCAACATGCCCAATTTGGATACCAGGAACTGGAATCGATTTTCATCTAGAGCCTTAGTAAATAAATCAGCCAGTTGAAGCTCAGAGCTTACAAAGTACATATCGATATCCCTTTTCTCCACATGGTCTTTGATGAAATGATAGCGCAGATCAATGTGCTTGGTGCGGGAGTGATGAACTGGGTTGCTGGTGATGGCGATGGCACTCTGAGAATCGCTGTAGATCGGGATATGGCGGAAAGTGTAACCATAGTCTTTTAGCTGGGTCCTCATCAATAATATTTGAGAGCAACAACTAGCAGCCGCGACGTATTCTGCCTTGGCTGGAGATGTGGACACACAATTCTGCTTCTTGGAAGACCAGCAGACTAATTTCTCGCCCAAGAACTGGACGGCTCCCGATGTACTTTTTCGGTCCATTCTGCAGCCCGCAAAGTCAGCATCTGAATATCCGACAAGGTCAAAACCTGAGTGCTTGGGATACCAAAGGCCTAAGTTCACAGTGCCTTTCAGGTATCTCAAGATTCGTCTTACATCGGTCAGGTGAGATTCTTTCGGATTTGCTTGAAAGCGTGCACATAAGCATGTGGAGAATACGATGTCAGACCTGCTAGACGTGAGATAAAGCAAAGATCCGATGATGGCCCTGTAGTTTGTAGCATCGACTGGTTTCCCTGCGGGATCTGAGTCCAGTTTATTGTTGGGCGACATAGGGGTTGTCATGGAAGATTTGCTGTCAATGTTGAACCTCTTAAGCATTTCCAGAATGTACTTGGACTGATTGATGAAAATGTCGTCTGAGAGCTGTCGTACTTGCAGGCCTAGGAAGAAATTCAGTTCTCCCATCATGCTCATTTCAAACTTGGTTTTTATCAGTTTCTCAAAATGTTTGCACAGACGCGGATTTGAGGAGGCAAAGATGATGTCATCGACATAGATCAGAATCAGAATGATATCAGATTTCTGTCACTTGATGAACAGTGTAATGTCAATCTTTCCTTTTGAGAAACATGAATCAACCAGAAACTCTGCCAAGGCATCGTACCAAGCCCTTGGTGCCTGTTTCAACTCATAGAGAGCTTTCTTGAGCTTGTATACATGATATGGGTATTTGAGATGTACAAATCTTTCGGGTTGAGCGACATAGACTTCTTCTTCTAATACTCCGTTTAGAAAAGCTGTTTTCACATCCATTTGAAAGACGGTGAAGTTCTTATGTGCCGCGTACGCAAGAAAGAGGCGAATGGCTTCTATTCTCGCTACGGGCGCGAATGTTTCATCATAGTCTATGCCCTCTTACTGGTTGTACCCCTTTGCGACCAGTCTTGCTTTGTTCCGTACAACGATGCCTTCTTCGTCCTTTTTGTTCTTGAACACCCACTTGGTGCCTATGATAGTTTTCTTAGAGGGTTTTGGCACGAGTGTCCACACTTGTAGTCTGTTAAATTGATTGAGCTCATCTTACATAGCAATCACCCAATCTGGATCAGTGAGTGCCTCCGAAACTTTGGATGGTTTATTCTGACTTAAGAAGCAGGCAAAGTGACATTCATTCACTGTGGCCGATCTCGTCCGCACATCTTGACTCGGATCACCAATTGTTTGTTCTACATGATGAGCCTTCGTCCATTTCCTTTCATGAGCCATGGGAATTGGAGTGATGATGGGTTGATCCGAGTCCTCATAGGGAATGGTTGTCTCGTGAGTAGTTGTGGTGTGCGGTGGAGTTGATTCTGGTGTTGAAGCAAACCCATGATCATCCACTTCTACGTGATTGGATGGGGGAGTTGAAGGCGTAGACGGTACATCATCCGGACCTAGAAGAAGTGGGATCTCTACAGTGGCAGTGGATTGTTGTGGAGCTGCTGATGTTGAAGCTGGTGTGCATGGAGGAGATGAAGGTTGTGAATTCTCGTAGAAGTTTCTGAAGAGAGAATTGAGAATCACACCTTCATGTACTGAGTTCGAATCAACTTTATCAGAAGCCTCTGGTTCTACCTGTAAGTGTTCTGTTGCAAAGTCAGCCATTTCATAGAATGTTACGTTCACACTCTCAATGACTGTTCGCTTTTCTCGTAAATAGACCCTGTAAGCTTTGGACTACAGTGAGTACCCAATAAACACGCCTTCTATGGCTTTTGGGTTCAGCTTACTTCGTTCAGTTCGTTCATTCAATACAAAGCACTTGCAGCCAAATATCTTGAAGAATGAGATATCCGGAGTTCTGTTGAAAAGAATTTCATAAGGAGTCTTGTCGAAGCGTTTGTGGATGGATGTTCTGTTCTGTGTGTAGCACGCAGTATTGATTGCCTCTGCCCACATGAAATGAGGCAGTTTGGATAAGCATGGTGCGAGCTGCTTCAACATGTGTCCTGTTCTTTCTTTCAACAACTCCGTTCTGTTGGGGAGTTTTGGCTGCCGCAAATTACTGAGTGATACCGAGAGATTCATAGAAATCAGTGAGAGTTTGATTCTTGAACTCGGTACCATTGTCGGTTTTGGTTATTCGAACACTGTGCTGTAGCAGGTTTTGGATGGTTCTGATAAAGGTCATAATGGTTTCTGTTGCCTCGTCCTTTGTACGAAGAAATTTAGTCCATGTGTACCTTGAGAAGTCATCAACGATCACTAGTGTATATTTGCGACCATTGATGCTTTGTACTCTCATGGGTCCACACAGATCCATATGAATCAGCTGCAGCGGATGAGTAGATGATGGAACTGTTTTTGGCTTGTGGGAGCTTCGCGTCATTTTGCCCATCTTGCAGGCACTACAATGATTTTCAGCGGAAGACTTCAACAGAGGAAGTCCCTTCACAAGTTTCTTGGAGGAAAGGATGGAAAGATTCTTGAAGTTTAGGTGATAAAGGCGTTGGTGCCATAGACTGTTCTATTTAGTTGAGGCTCTGGACAGTAGACAGATGGAAGTGGTGGATTGAACACTTTTCAGATCAATCGTGTACAGGTTTGATGTCCTGTTACACGTTAATAATAAGTTCCCAATGCTGTCCAACACACAAGCATTGTTTTGAGAAGAACCTCACTTCCATCCCACTGTCACAAAATTGTCCTATGCTCAGCAAGTTATGTTTGAGCCCTTTGACATAGGAGACAGCCTTAATGGTGACGCTGGCACAGATGACATCCCCATAACCAAGGATTGGAGATGAGGCGTCATTGCCGAATCTGACATTTCCTCCAAAGCAGTTGGTGTAGTTGCTCAACAGGTGTTTTAATCCGGTCATGTGGGTTGAGCATCCAGAATCTAAGTGCCACACATGACCGCCCTGCAAAACAGTTAAGCAAATTTAGGTCCCCATCTTGAAATGGGTCCTTCCTTATCAACAGTGAACACCTTTTTGAATTTCGCTTTAAGCTGTGATCCAAAGTCAGCAGCCTTCTCACCAAAAGATTTATCTTTTGTGGGCTCTGTTATAGCCAGTTCTGATGTTGCAGAACGTCTGGCCTTGGGAACCCACTTTTCAATTTCAGTTTTAATGGGTCCGTTTTTTGGGACCCACCTGGAAGTTTCAGGTTTAGTAGGTCCGTTCTTGGGGACCCACCTGGCAGTTTCAGGTTTAGTAGGTCCGTTCTTGGGGACCCACCTGGCAGTTTCAGGTTTAGTAGGTCCAATTTTGGGGACCCACTTTTGTTTAGTGCTAAGAGAAGTGTAGACTTTTGCTTTGTTATTGAAAGGTTGTTTGGTGAGTTGAGACTTAAAAATTTTCTCTTTCGAGAGTCTGTTAACAGGTTTCTCAAAGTGAACTTTGAAGGGATATTTTAGATTTGGAAGACAGAAAACTCCCTCAAAGGTTCTGCTCTTGTCTTCTTTTCTTTGTTTAACCTGTCTTCGAGGTTGCACCTTAACAGCATTCGAATCACATTCATAGTTGTGAGGTTCAGGAACAGAATAGCCATAAGCATCAGTTGAATTGTAAGAAGCAGATTGTTTGAAAGACAAAATAGAATTTTTCAGCTTGGAACTCAAAGTTGAATTACTGACTGAATGTTTGATTGAAACAGAATTACAATTTTTCTTAGAATAAAAAAGAGAGCTAGAACAAGGACTGGACTTCTTTTCTTCAAAAACTTTCTTCTTTCCATTTGTAATTTCCTTCCTTTTCTGCCTCCACTCTTCCTTCTTCTTCCATCTCTTGTTCACTTCTTGTCCTGTGGACAAAAGAGAAGAGGAATGAGTGGGCGTTTCTTTCGAAAAGCTGAATTACTGACTGAATGTTTGATTGAAACAGAATTACAATTTTTCTTAGAATAAAAAAGAGAGCAAGAACAAGGACTGGACTTCTTTTCTTCAAAAACTTTCTTCTTTCCATTTGCAATTTCCTTCCTTTTCTGCCTCCACTCTTCCTTCTTCTTCCATCTCTTGTTCACTTCTTATCCTGTGGACAAAAGAGAAGAGGAATGAGTGGGCGATTCTTTCGAAAAATTTGTTTGTTTAGGAGAGATGTGAGGTTCCTTATGCACTGTACTAGATGTGGATTGGGGAGTGTTTTTAGAGTGGTACTTAATGCTTAGTTGGTTGAATTCATTTAGGAGCGTTTCCCAGTTACTCTCAAAACCTTTCTTTTCTAAATCAAACTTTTCTCTCTCATTTTCTAAGGTTTTCTGGAGATCTTTGAGCTTTTGGGCCATTAGAAAGATACAAGGTTCCTTTCCAAATGTAGAAATACCTACTCTAGAAGGTGGGTCTAAGGGATGACCCAGATGAGGTACATCCTTCCTAATGGCATAAGGATTCAAACACTCATTAGTACAAAAATTCTGCTCTTTGCCTGTGAGGCTTTTTTCATTTAAAACAGAATAATTGCAAGAAATGGCAGCCTTTGGGTTCTTTCTCTTTTCTTCTTCTTTTTCGGCATTTTCTTCATCACTTCTAAAAAACATTTTCTGACCATAACCTTGTCTCATGTGATCTAAGTCATAAAGCTGAATGCAATCAACTTTCTTTAGATTTCATGGATTAGACATGCCAAGCCCAGATCTGGGATTGTAGTACCGGTCATCACTAATTTGGTTTAAGAAAATAGTTTGTTCTGACTGACCTCTTATGGCAATTAAATCCTCAAGTTCTTTGATTTTGCTAAAGAGATTATTTCTTTGATTTTCAAGAACATTTTTGTCAGCTTTAACTGTATTTGACTCTATTTCAGTTTGAAAAACCTAATCAGTCATATCAGCAACCTTGAGTGTTAACTCATCAAGTTCGAGTGTCATCTTTTTGGCATCTTGCTTTTCATTTTCAAGTTGTATGCTTAAAGATGCTTTCTGGTCTAGACACCTAACAAACTCTTGATAGTTATTGTCTAACTTCTCTTTAAGGTCATTAATTAAGTCATCCTTAGTATGTAAGGATTGACTTTGATTAGAGCAGGAGCATTGAGAGTCAGAGGTACTAACCGTGCTATTCGAGCTTTCACTTCCGGGGATCGCAGCACCACCCTTTTCTTCTTCTTCTTCTTCACCTTCCAACAATGCCATAAGTGCATAGTTATCCTCATCTTCTTCGTCAGATGAGTCCTCATCCCAATGTTCATTCTCAGCTAACAGTGTTGCGTTCTCCTCTTCTTTCTTAGCTAGCAGCAGCTTTTGTTTGTTCCAGATTATTTTCTGTCTGTAGAAGTTGACATCTTTTTTCTTTGGAAGACGACAGTCCTTCTGGAGATGTCCGGACTTTCCACAGTTATAACATATTGGAGAGTCATCAGGTGCAGCTGCTCTGCCAGAGCTGCTTTGATCAGGAGTCTTCTGTTTGTAATTAGAAGAGGTTCTCAGCTTATTTGAGGAGTTGTTCTTCTTTCCCCACTTCTTGGTTAGGAGTGCCATCTTCTTCTGCAGCTCTGCCATCTCATGCTCGAAGTCTATTACAACCTTTTTCTTTTTCTTCTGTACCTTCGTGGACTTCGGTGGCTGAGCTTCCATAACAAGTGCTAGTGGATCAGTTGAGTACTGTCCTTCTAGTTCCGCAGTGTCGTTCTCAAAGGTTCTCAAGTGATCTCGCAGTGTGCAGAGATCCACTTCATCAAGATCTAGGCCTGTTCTTGCGTCTTTCACTCGATTTCTCCATTCATGATTCAGACTTGACATAAATCTAATGTTCATTTCCATATTGGATTTGAATATTTTGATCTTTCTGAGTTCGTTGATTAGAGTCATGAATCTTTTGTGGGTTGAAATTAGTGATTCGCCAGGTAAGGCTTTAAAGGAGTCATAGGCCATCAGAGTACTGGCCTTCTTTGTTTTTAGTCCAATGGAGGTTCCCTACAAAAGTTTTGCAACTTCATCCCACATTTCCTTAGCAGTCTGCATGCTGTCAATCGTGATATAGATATCGTTGGGAATGGCTTGTAGCAGGTAAGTTTTGACAGTGAGATCAGCCTTCAATCTCTCTCTGTCCTCTGCTGTGTACTCAGTGGGAGTTTTAATCCGTCTTACTTCTTCAATTGGCAGATTATTGCTTTCATTCCCCGGGATGGTTATACAGAGCACTGCAAGGCCTTGAGTGAGGGATTCTAGCAAATTAGAAGAGTTATCCCGGTTCTCTAGAAAGTTGAGAAATCTAGTCTTCCCCATCTGATATTCCCCATTTCTCAGTACTAGGGGATTTTTGCTGTTACCAAGTGCTGAAGAGTCTGTTGTCATTGCTGTTAAAAACTGACCGTTCGAGATTTGATCAGAAAAAAATTTCTAAGGCAGAACCTCGAGATCCTGAAAAACGAAGATCAGCCTCGAAATTTAGGATTTCGATATAAAATCCTCGAGATGAAGATCTCGAGATTTGTGTTTCGAGATTTCAAAAGTCGAGTATAGATCTCGAGATTTCAAATGTCGAGATTTGAAATGTCAAGATATACACTTTGAGATTTTGAATGTCGAGAAATCAAAAGTCGAGATCAAGATGTCGAGATCTTGAAATTTCGAAACCCAAATGTCGAGTTCCGAAAGTCGATATCCTTGATGTCGAGATCCTGCAAGAAGAAAAATTTGAGATTCCAAAGTCTGAAAGTTGTTCCCTGTACTTCTTGATGTCGAGATTCTACTGTGAAAATTTCAGCTCGAAAATTTGAGCATAGCCAGGAAAAACACTAATCTCGAGATCTGCCTGTCGAGATCTCAAAAACAAAAAGTTTGCGAAAAATGAAAACAAAGGTATACTGCTTGATCGTCTAAAGAGTGCGATTTCAACAATATAACTTTTACAGCTTTTTGATCAAGAACGGGAGTACAAATGATAAAAACGAAAAGTACAAATGAACGATGAAAAATAGCAGAGTCTTCGTCGTTGATGTTCTGATCAGTACTCGATCGGCTCTGATACCAATTGTTTGTCCCTGTTTATATGATTTACAGCAATAGAGATTGATATAACAAAGATAGAGAAGCAGAAAGATACACGCTCAGATCTTTTAAACTCGTCTTTGATATATCGTGAACTTTGCAAACACAAGGATGAGCGCTAAGGCTGATAAGATCAATATGCAAAGTTAACGCAAACCTAAACCTAAAGCGCCTTTTTATATGCGCAGGTATAAGGTTTGCGTAAAGGCTTTCAGCCTGATATGTGCTTGACACATTGGCCCCATATCTTTTATACCCTAATAAATACAAACATAAATAACAAATGATATAATAAAAGCTAATCTATTATAAGACATATGACAAGCTTGATTCAAAATAAAATGATCTTCAACAACTACAAATTTTCGTGTCAATGAGATAAGCAAGTATGTAGAAAATAATTCAAGAATAAATAATATTTACAAAACTATCAAAAAGCCTCACAAGAAGAAGATGCTCATAGGAGTGAAAAAACCGCCCAATTTTAAAAGAACTATGGAAACCCTAGATATTTAAAACTATAAACAGTTAAAAGAGCGTTTTTACCTATATAGTGTTGGAAAAATGTGTTAAAAATTACATTAAATGGCCATTTTGGGGCAATTATTTGAGTGGGGTCCACTTCCGATTTGGGTCGGGTCAAAGTGGTTTCGGATTGTCCTTGTTAAGGGCTACAATTCGATATGTGGTACACTCAAAACGGATAACGGGTGAATGAGAAATTGATTCTCGAAGTTCACTCGTTGAAATGGAAAAACTGGGAAAAATGATGAGTTTCTAGTGTGTTTTATCCCACACCGAAAAACTCAAGGGATTTTCACCCCCTTATAAAGGGAAGCCTCTTTTAAGGAGTTAAGATTCCTAGAGGGAAAGGCTCTCTCTTACGCGCAGGGGGGGGGCGGGGTGCCGATCAAATCCCGAAACGGAGAAGAAAAACCGCGACTCGTGTTCCAGCTACTCCCAAATTTTCTAAGTATTCTTACTGTGTTCCAGTTCGCCGGAACTTCCGTTTGTGTGCTCAAACGATCGTTCGTTAGCCACCGTATCCTGGGAAACGGTCGTTGCAACGCTCCTAGCACCGTGGGAGGCGACAAATACGTTTTAAGGACATCGTGCGTAGCACGGGCTCTGGCTAAAATCTGCTCCATCTCATTTTCTGTTTTCTTTTAGCTATTTTGTTTATTAATTAATTTTATTTAATTAATATTTCTTCGTTTTTTTTCGAAACACACCCAACAATCTTAAAACGTATTTGTTGAGCTTGTATCATACGGATACAATCTTAAAACGTATTTGTTGATTGTTCTACTGTGGTAAACAATCTTAAATCGTAGTTTTTCACTTTGGTGAACGAACTTATTTTTTTTGTGTGTTTTTCGAAAAAACGTTAAAGAACGAAAATGACTTCTCAAGAAAACGAGATTGGTGTTGGGTAGAATGTTCTAAACGACAATCACTCTGAAAGTGGAGCACCGGTGAACAATGGTTCACAACGCGGTGCATCTACTTTGGCCAACCAAAGGGCTATCCCTATGCTGACCGTGCCAAGCAACTCTGTGGAGAAACCCGAGAAATTCAATGGGTTAAACTTCAAGAGGTGGCAGCAAAAGATGCTCTTCTATCTCACTACTCTCGGTCTTGCGAGGTTCTTGACCGAGGATGCGCCGGTAGCAACCGGGGGTGAGGTGGATGCGCAATCTTTCAACGCGGTTGAGGCATGGAAGCATTCGGACTTCCTTTTCCGAAAATATGTGTTGAACGGGCTGCATGATGCTTTGTACGACGTATATAGCAAACTAGCTACGGCTAAGGAGCTATGGAATGCTTTCGACCACAAATATAAAAGCGAGGATGCCGGCGCAAAGAAATTTGTTGTTGGTCGATTCCTTGACTTTAAAATGGTGGATTCGAAGACGGTCTTGAGTCAAGTTGAGGAGATGCAAATGATCTTCAACGAAATTCGAGATGAAGGAATGACAGTTAGTGAGTCTTTCCAAGTGGCGTCAATTATCCATTTATTGCCGCCGGCTTGGAAGGATTTCAAGAACTACCTTAAGCATAAGCGAAAGGAAATGAACTTGGAGCAATTGATCCTCCGTCTGCGGATTGAAGAGGATAACCGGAAGAACGATGGGAAACTCCCAATTGTTCATGGCGCCAAGGCCAACGTGGTGGAGCATGCTAAAGGCTCCAAAAATAAAAATAATGGGAAGAGCAAGCTCGGTCCCAAGGGAGGCGTTTCCAAGACAAAGTTCAACGGAAAATGCTTCAATTGCAATAAGAATGGACACAAGTCCTCGGATTGCAAGGCACCAAGGAAGAAGAAAGATTATCACGTGAACTTGGTGCAAGGTGGGCAAAAGGATGAAGACATCATCCTTGCGGCTGTGGTGACCGAGGTCAACCTCGGTGGATCCAATTCCAAGGAGTGGTTCGTGGACACCGGTGCAACCCGGCATATTTGCTCAAACCGTGAGTTATTCACAACTTTTGAGCCATCAAATGGTGAGAAAGTGTGGATGGGTAACTCGGCTCATTCCGCTGTTGAAGGTGTGGGCAAGGTGGTCCTGAAGATGACTTCGGGCAAAGAGCTGACTCTCAACCAAGTTTTGTTCGTTCCGGAAATACGCAAAAACCTGATTTCCGGTTCGTTGTTGAACAAACATGGCTTTCGCATGGTTTTTGAGTCGGACAAATTAGTTTTGTCTAAATCAGGAATGTATGTGGGAAAGGGATATACATGTGATGGGCTGTTTAAGCTCAATGTAATGACTATTATTAATAATAATAATAAAATCCCTTCTACTTACTTGCTTGAGTCTTCCAATGTGTGGCATGGTAGACTAGGACATGTTAATTTTGATTCTATACGTAGATTGATTAACATGAAGCACATTCCTAAATTCACAATTGATGTGAAGCACAAATGTGAAGTTTGTGTAGAGGTAAAACTAACGAAAACGTCTTTCAAATCGGTTGAAAGAAAAACGGAACCACTTGAATTAATTCATAGTGACGTTTGTGATTTTAAATCAATACAAACACGTGGCGGTAATAAATATTTTATTACTTTTATCAATGATAGCACTCGTTATAGCTACGTTTATTTATTAAAAAATAAACACGAAGCAATCGATAAATTCATTCTTTATAAGAATGAAGTGGAAAACCAGCTTAATCGACGGATTAAGACGGTTAGGAGTGATCGAGGTGGTGAGTATGAAGCACCAATTGGTGACTTTTGCGCTAGTGTGGGTATAGTACACGAACGTACCGCACCCTATTCACCTCAATCAAACAGTGTTGCCGAACGAAAGAATCGCACATTGAAAGATATGATGAACGCGATGCTAGTAAGTTCGGGCCTGCCACAAAATATGTGGGGCGAAGCAATCTTGACAAGCAATTACCTTTTAAATAAGGTTCCCCGGAAAAAATATGATAAAACTCTGTACGAGTTGTGGAAAGGCAGACGGCCTTCCTATCAATATTTAAAAGTGTGGGGGTGTCTTGCTAAGGTGCTTGTACCAACACCTAAGAAAATAAAAATAGGTCCAAAAACAGTGGATTGTATTTTTATTGGATATGCACAAAATAGTAGTGTGTATCAGTTTTTAGTGTACGATTCGAATAATCCGGATGTACATAAAAACACAATAATTGAATCAAGGAATGCTTCATTCTTTGAAGATGTATTTCCATGCAAGTCCAACGAAGGGCGTAACACGTCAAAACGAACATTTGACGTAGCTATGGAAAATACTAGCGAGGGATCTGGAGAAGAACCCGAACCCAGACGTAGCAAACGTGCTAGAATTGAAAAATCCTTCGGACAAGATTTTCTCACCTACCTGGTAGAAGTTGACTCGGATATTCTAACATGTATGGTAGAAAATGAACCGGATTTTCTAACATGTTTGGTAGAAAATGAGCCACGGACTTATACGGAAGCCGTGGCGTCTACGGAAGATCCTATGTGGAAAGAAGCCATCAAAAGTGAGGTGGATTCTATCCTTAAAAATCACACATGGGAATTGGTTGATCTTCCTCCGGGAAATAAACCTTTGGGATCCAAGTGGATTTTTAAACGGAAAATGAAACCTGACGGTTCCATCGATAAGTACAAGGCCAGACTTGTGATCAAGGGATACAAGCAACGTGAGGGCCATGATTACTTTGACACGTATTCTCCTGTGACGAGAATAAATTCCATTAGGATGATACTAGCAATTGCCGCATTGCGGAAATTGGAAGTTCATCAAATGGACGTAAAAACCGCTTTTCTAAATGGCGATATAGACAAAGAAATCTATATGGAACAGCCCGAGGGCTTTCGTGTTCCAGGCCAAGAAAGGAAAGTGTGTAAATTAATTAAATCATTGTATGGATTGAAACAAGCCCCTAAACAGTGGCACAAAAAGTTCGATCATGCAATGTTAATTAATGGGTTTAAAATAAACGAAAGTGACAAATGCGTCTATGTGAAGAGCACGGTAGACGGGTATGTCATTTTATGTTTATACGTGGATGATATACTCATCGTGGGTAGCAATAATCTAATGATTAATTCTACCAAAAGCATGTTAAATTCTAAATTTGACATGAAGGATATGGGGCTGGCCGATTTAATCCTTGGGATTAAAATAATTAGAGGACCTGACGGTCTTACGCTAAGCCAATCCCATTACGTTGATAAAATCCTTACGAAATTTAATAAGGATGATTATCAAGAGGCAAGGACTCCATTAGATAAAAACGTACAACTTACCAAAAATCGTGGAGAGTGTATTTCTCAAGTAGAATACGCTAGGATTATTGGAAGCTTGATGTATGTAATGAGTTGTACCAGGCCTGATATTGCCTTTGTGGTCAGCAAGTTGAGTAGATATACTAGCAACCCCGGCGCTGAACACTGGAAGGAAATAGTAAGGGTTTTGAGGTATTTACGTAAAACCCAAAACCTTGGACTGCACTATGGAAGATATCCAGCTGTACTTGAAGGGTATAGCGACGCTAATTGGATATCCGACATAAAGGACTCTAAGTCCACAAGTGGATATGTTTTCACTTTGGGAGGTGCAGCCGTATCATGGAAATCCTCTAAACAAACGTTAATAGCTAGATCCACGATGGAGTCTGAGCTAATAGCCTTGGATAAGTGCACTGAAGAGGCTGAATGGCTACGCCATTTTCTTGAGGATATTCCAAGTTGGGAAAAGCCTGTCCCTCCAATATGCATACATTGCGATTGTCAAGCGGCAATTGGAAGGGTACAGAGCAATATGTACAATGGTAAGTCTAGACACGTTCGTCGTAGACATAACACCATTAAACAACTCCTCGCAACGGGTGTTATCACTGTTGACTACGTGAAGTCAAAGGATAACATAGCGGATCCGCTAACCAAGACATTGGATAGAGAATTGTTGGAGAAGTTGTCACGAGGAATGGGACTAAAGCCCGTGAATTGAAAAGTTCTATAGTGGATACCCAACCTAGTTGGTCCTAGGTTCAAAAGGGACAACTAAATTATAGAGCGAAGGATGATCACTGTGGGGGTCCCGGACTCCAACCCACTCCTCGTTAAAACAGTGACTCCCGCACGAGGTTAGCAAAAACGTTTGCTTTAATGATTCTAAAATGTTGATCTACATCGATAACATTGGAAGAGTATGCGGGATACTCGTGACAGAATCACCTATGTGAGAGAGAAGAGGGTCGCTTCAAAGGAGAACTGTAAAGGCTCAGTTCTTTAGAAACTCTTGCAGAACCAGGACGGTGACCCATGGCCAAAACGGGCACACCCATGAGAACGGAACAAAGTTGGAAGGTTCTTGTGTAAAGATAAGTCAATGTTTACACGACGGCAGTATAGTTCAAGGACATCGAGTCTACTAGACAGCCAGTAAATAAACGTGTCTTTACAACGGAAGGTTCAAAGGATAAACCTACCTCTCCGTATGCAAGGATCATCCGGTGAACACAACGTGTCCTCCTATCTTCGTGTCTTTTAAGTCTCGAAAATCAATTTTCATTCATGTGGGGGATTGTTGGAAAAATGTGTTAAAAATTGCATTAAATGGTCATTTTGGGGCAATTATTTGAGTGGGGTCCACTTCCGATTTGGGTCGGGTCAAAGTGGTTTCGGATTGTCCTTGTTAAGGGCTACAATTCGATATGTGGTACACTCAAAACGGATAACGGGTGAATGAGAAATTTATTCTCGAAGTTCACTCGTTGAAATGGAAAAACTGGGAAAAATGATGAGTTTCTAGTGTGTTTTATCCCACACCGAAAAACTCAAGGGATTTTCACCCCCTTATAAAGGGAAGCCTCTTTTAAGGAGTTAAGATTCCTAGAGGGAAAGTCTCTATCTTACGCGCAGGGGGGGGGGTGCCGATCAAATCCCGAAACGGAGAAGAAAAACCGCGACTCGTGTGCGCGGGCGACCTGCGGACACGAATGCCGTCCAAAAATCTATCTCTCAAGAGATACGGTTAATTTTTGTTTTCTTCCCGAAACGTTTATTTTTTCCCAGAAGTGCTCCGAACAGAACCCCTCGAAGGGGTGTTCTGCTGGCTTCGGACAGAAACCCTCCAAGAGGTGTTGTGTTGGCTTCGGACAGAAACCCTCCAAGGGGTGTTCTGTTGGGGTCTTCTGTCGCGCATTTCTTCCGTTACAACAATTAATGCCCAACGTTCTTCTCTTTTAATGCTGCGTTAAATGGACAGTTTATGGATGATTAAATGCCCAACGGACTGGTCAATGATGTCCAACGTTCAGGTCCATTAACACCCCATTTAACACACAACAAATCCTCCTATAAATAGCTGGCAGGTGCTTTGCAACAAACACACGGTTTTGACAATGCACAATACCTTCCTCACGTTTTCTTGAGCTAAAAACTCTTCCAGCTACTCCCAAATTTCCCAAGTGTTCTTACTGTGTTCCAGTTCACCGGAACTTCCGTTTGTGTGCTCAAACGATCGTTCGTTAGCCACCGTATCCTGGGAAACGGTCGTTGCAGCGCTCCTAGCACCTTGGGAGGCGACGAATACGTTTTAAGGACATCGTGCGTAGCACGAGCTCTGGCTAAAATCTGCTCCATCTCATTTTCTGTTTTCTTTTAGCTATTTTGTTTATTAATTAATTTTATTTAATTAATATTTCTTCGTTTTTTTTTCGAAACACACCCAACATATAGTGCCAAAGAGAGGCGACCAAAATCGGCGAAAGAAAAGCAGCAACCAAAATCGGCTATAGATGAGCAGCGATTGGATTTCAGCAAGAGATGAGCAGCGACCGCAAGTCAGCGATAGAAGAGCGACAATTGGAACTAGACGATAGATAAGCAGCGACCGCAAGTGGGCAATAGAAGAGAGACGATTGGAAGTCGGCCATAGATGAGCGACGATTAAATGTCGGCGATAGAAGAGCCACGATTGAATGTCGGCGATAGAAGAGCTACGATTGGATGTCGGAGATAGAAGAGCTGAGAATGGATGTCGGTGATAGTAGAGCTGTGATTGGAAGTCGGCGATAGAAGAGCGGCGACCAGAAGTTGACGATATAAGAGCGGCTGCTGGTGATGATGGACAGCGTTCTCCTTAACTCCTTTCTAGGGCTGGCAGGTGCTCTACCTTCTAAACATTTCCAGAGCATTCAATTATACCAAGTGTTTATATATTCTAATACGGATCATTCTCATCCTACATAAAAAGTAGTTTTGAAATTCATAAAATATACCCCGCCTCTGTTCCATGTTTTCAGGAATTATGAAAAAGACTCCGTTTTCATTTTTCTATATCGGGTCAGAACCTAGCCGATATAGATAATATTCAATATTTCCAAATCTGACCTGCTTTAAGTTGAGATAATTTTAAAATTTATGATATTAACCCCATGCATATGTACTATGTCGGTTGTTTTATATCCGACACGAAATGTCTGTTATAGAATTGATTTTTTGTACTAGTGCTTTCAAAAGTATTCTGATTTAATATCAGTATTACTACTTGTTGAGATGAATAATGACATTTTGATGAGAAACCACAATAGGAGACCCACGGGTTGTAGCCCTTTTAGTTTTGGTCCACAAAATCATGGTTCAAAACATGAATCAAATGCAACTCATAGTGGTGCTCGTGGACATTTCAAACGTGGTCGTGGTATTGGTCGTTATAATGGACCTAGCCGGGGAAACAAACAGAGTAGTAGCTCTTACAAAGGCAAGGGAAAGCAAAACCCCCATCAAACAAGAGGCTCGACGAAATCTTCAGAAAAGGCTAAAGTCACTTGTTTTAAATGTGGCACGTCGGGATATTGGACAAATAAGTGTCGCACACCTACACATTTAGTTGACTTATATAAATCATCTCTAAACGGAAAGAATGTGGAAACTAATTACGTCAACGAAAACGTTCCACCAATGCCCACATTTAATATGTCTGATTTCTATATGGATAATAATGAGATGAGCACTGACATCGTCATGGGTGAAAATAATAATAATAAAAATGAAGTTATTCTGTTATGTAATATATTCTACAATAAAAGTTTGTTGTATTGTAATTTTTATTTGGTGTGCTTGTTTCGGTTGTAAAAGTTATGTACATTTTAATGAATAAATTCTTGTTTATATTGCAATATTGAACTAATATTTGTTCTTTTTTATCTTTTTAAAGATATGGAGTTAACTGAAATTTCTCCAAATGGCTTTGTACAATGTTTAATAGACAGTGCCACAACGCACACCACTTTTCTCATATGACATTAGTTGATGCTAATGTCAATACAATCTCAGGTGTTGCTAAACTCATTGAAGGTTCTGGAATAGCCTGTGTAATTCTCCCAAAAGGGACAAAATTAATAATTAAAGACGCTTTATACTCCAGTAAATCACGGAGAAATCTTTTGAGTTTCAAAGATATGCGTCTAAATGGTTTTGACATTGAAACCATGTCTGAAAATCAAAAGGAATATTTATATCTAACGACAAATAGATCTGGCAATAAATACATTTCAGAAAAAATGCTAGCATATTCCTCTGAACTATATTATACATATATCAGTCCAATTGAGATAAATGTGGTATCTAATATTAATGACCACGGTTCCTTTATCTTGTGGCATGACCGTTTAGGTCATCCAGGCAGCACTATGATGCACAAAATTATTCAAAATTCACTTGGACATTCATTAAATAATGTCAAAATTCCACAATCAAGTGATTTCTCATGCACTGCCTGTTCTCTTGGAAAATTAATTATCAGGCCATCTTTATACAAAATTGGAGTTGAATCTTCTGCATTTTTAGAAAGAATTCAAGGAGATATTTGTGGACCAATTGCCCCTCCGTGTGGACCCTTTGGATACTTTATGGTGCTCATTGATGCATCAACACGTTGGTCACACGTCAGTCTTTTATCGACTAGAAATTTTGCATTTGCAAATCTCTTTGCTCAAATTATTCGTTTGAGATCACAATTTCCGGATTTTTCAATAAAGAAAATCTGACTTGATAATGCAGGAGAATTTACATCCCGATCTTTTAATGACTATTGCATGTTAATTGGGATTGATGTGGAACATCCAGTCCCACATGTGCATACACAAAATGGTCTTGCTGAATCCTTAATTAAGCGATTACAATTAATTGCTAGACCATTATTGATGAAATCCAGATTACCATCATCTGCATGGGGATATGCTATAATGCATGCTGCAAATTTAATTCGGCTCAGGTCAACTACATATCATAAATTTTCCCCATTGCAATTAATATCTGGTAAAGAACCAAATATATCACACATAAAAATATTTGGTTGTTCTGTGTATGTACCAATTGCTCCACCTTATTGTACTAAAATGGGCCCTCAAAGAAGGCTGGGAATTTATGTTGGTTTTAAATCTCCCTCAATTATTAATTATCTAGAACCTATGACTGGTGACTTATTCACTGCACGGTTCGATGACTGTCATTTTGATGAAACAGTATTCCCAGCCTTAGGGGGAGATAATAAAGAAATGGACCCACGTACGAAAGATATTACTTGGAATGCAACATATTTATCTTTTCTTGATTCTCGCACAAATGCTTGTGAACAAGAAATTCAAAAGATCATTCATTTACAAAGTGTTGCAAACCAATTGCCTGATGCTTTCACATACTCAAAGAAAGTGACAAAGTCACATATTCCAGCTATGAATACTCCTTCTCGAATAGAAATTCCTGCGGAGATTAGCGAAAGAACTCTTGCTAATGAATCTATGATACGTAAAAAACGTGGTAGACCACTTGGTTCAAGAGATTTGAAACCAAAAAATTTTAAAAAGCAAGATGTAGTTTGTGATGCCAAAGAAGTTCAACCTTCTCAAGAAGAAAATGAACATTATGATAATATCGGCATTGAAGATAACATCAATAATAAGGATACCTCAAAAGAGGACCCAATCACCTTTGAAGAGGTAAATATTCCAGATAAAAATAGAAACGTTGATAATTTTGAAATTTCAATCAATTACGTTTCTAATGGAATACAATGGAATAGAAAAGATATTGATGTTAACGATATATTTTCATATGTCATCGCCACAGATATAATGAATAAACACGATGACAATGAGCCTAAATCTATTGACGAATGTCGTCGTAGAAACGATTGGCCAAAATGGAATGAAGCGATTCAGGTAGAACTAAAATCGCTAGAAAAGCGTAATGTTTCTGGACCAATTGTCCACACGCCAAAAGGCGTAAAACCTGTAGGTTTTAAATGGATGTTTGTGCGTGAATGCAATGAGAAAAATGAAATCGTTAGATATAAAGCCCGACTTGTTGTCCAAGGTTTTTCTCAAATGCGAGGAATCGATTATGATGAGACGTATTCTCCAGTAGTTGATGCTACTACTTTACGATTTTTAATTGGCATGTCAGTTTTTGAAAGGCTGCAAATGCGGCTAATGGATGTAGTGACCGCATATTTATATGGTTCACTCGATACAGACATATATATGAGAATTCCTGGAGGCTTTAAAATACCCGATGCTTATAGCTCGAAATCTTGAGATTTATTTTCCATAAAATTGCAAAAGTCATTATATGGATTAAAACAATCTGGACGCATGTGGTATAACCGTCTAAGTGAATATTTGATCAAAGAAGGATACAAAAATGATCCTATTAGTTCATGTGTTTTCATTCAGCGATCTGAATCAGGATTCGCCATAATTGCAGTATATGTTGATGATTTGAATATAATCGGAACTCCCAATGAAATTGAAAATACTGCTAAATATCTCATGAAAGAATTTGAAATGAAAGACCTTGGGAGAACAAAATTTTGTCTCGGCATTCAAATTGAACATTTGAGAAATGGTATTTTTATCCACCAATCAAATTATACCGAGAAACTTTTGAAGCGGTTTTACATGGAAAAAGCTCACCCACTCAATTCCCCGATGGTGGTTCGATCTCTCAATGTGCATGATGATCCTTTTCGACCTTGTGAAGATGATGAAGAAATCCTTGGTCCCGAAATACCATATTTGAGTGCTATTGGAGCGTTAATGTATTTGGCTAATAATACACGACCAGATATTGCTTTTTCTGTAAATTTATTAGCCAGGTACAGTTCTTCTCCGACAAGAAGACATTGGAATGGCGTCAAACATATATTCCGCTATCTCAATGGTACAATCGATCTTGGGTTGTATTTCAAGAATGGTGCAAATGCCACTTTAATTGGCTATGCCGATGCAGGATACTTGTCTGATCCACAAAAGGCAAAATCACAAACAGGATATGTATTCGCCTATGGTGATACCGCTATCTCATGGAGATCGATGAAGCAAACATTAACTGTCACATCATCAAATCATGCAGAATTAATTGCTCTTTATGAAGCAGGTCGAGAATGTGTCTGGTTGAGATCAATGATCCAGCACATACAAAATGAATGCCGTATAAAATCTTTTACTTGTAATCCTACTGTGATTTATGAAGATAACAGAACATGTATAGCTCAGATCAAAGGAGGTTACATCAAAGGGGATAGAACAAAGCATATTGCACCAAAACTTTTCTCCACACATGATCTTGAGAAAGAAGGAACAGTTGATGTCAAACAAATCAAGTCCTGCGACAACCCTGCTGATTTATTCACAAAGTCATTGGCATCGAAGAAATTTGAAGAACTGGTCCACAAAATTGGAATGTGTCGTCTTCGTGATATATGTTAAATTGAGGGGGAGTAATATAATGCACTGCACTCTTTTTCCCTTCGTCGGGTTTTTATCCCACTGGGTTTTTCCTGACAAAGGTTTTTAACGAGACAGTACATTATATTATAATACTATGATACTAATACCCCAGAATAATTAGAAGATAACCATTCAAGGGGGAGTGTTGAAATAAAGTTGAATTAGTCATCTTCTAACTATTCATGATTAGGAACACATTATCATCATTGTTAATATAAATAAGAAATCATAATTATAATTTCTAGATGATAATTGTGTGGTTCACAATTATCCTCTAATCCTAATAAGCTTAGCTTTTCCCTTATAAATAGGAGACTTTTCCATTGTAATTAACACAACTTGATTACACTATTATCACACTCTCTAATACTCTCAATAACATAAGCCTTCATACTATATTTTCTCTCTCTGATCTTCTGCTTATTTCCTTCCATTTCGTAACACAATCCATATTATCATTTCAGTCAAATGCTACGCACGCATAAATATATACTCCGTATTAGTCATCACATAACATCATATTTCAACGCACTATTTTGATTATCGTTATGATGATCAACTTTATTGCTCCATCACTGTCATTGAATAAGATGAATGTTGACTTGTTTTAAGCAGATTTTGATCCTTTCACTTTTACTACTAGGATGGAATTTTGAAAAACACCCATAATAATGGAAGCTAGGGAAACGTACTGTTAAGTCATAATCATCCTCTTAAAGATCGCAATGTAAGTCACATTCGTTTGTCTTTCTAGCTTTGACCAAGCCTGTTTAGCCTCAGCGCTTTGGATATCTTGCAATTCACTCGACTATACACACGACCGTCAAGCCCAGTAGCCCACTACCGGGTTCACCATGAAATTCTGACTACGAATTCTAATCAAGGAAAGCATATACTATACAACCGGCTGTACAGTGCCCACTGTACAATCGGTGACAGTTTTGTAATTTTGATGAAAAATACGAATTCCCTAAAATGAGCATTGATGCAAATTTGGTGAGCATTAGGTTTGTTTTTTAGTATTAGGAGTCCACCAATGAGCATCACTGTTCTCTGCTCCGCATCTTCCAATTCACTTTTGTTTTATTATTTTTCAATATGTGAATCTAATGTACTAAGATACGTTTGAAATGTGCAATATTTTAAAATGAGCATAAAGTGTTATCAAATGAGTATTTATAACTTAGAAAATGAGTATCAAAAATTTCAAAATCTCATTTGTATATGCTCATTCATTTTGAACATTGTACTCATTTGATCTTAACATAAAACCCATTCTATGTGTACAACACTCATTTGTATATGTTCATTCCTTTTAGTCGTATACTCATTTGAGTTTAATGTAAAACTCATTTGAGATTAACGGCAGCAAGGATTCCTCAGCAATGAAGTAGACTTCCCTTGTCTCCTAAAATCACATGCTCAAAGAGTAAAACTACACCATCAATTACGGCGGAAAGAAATACAGAAGGAGGAGAGGTGAGTAGATAAGTAGGGTGGAGAAGGGGGGAGTGGTGAACTTTGACTCCGAGTTGCTGGTGCGAAATCAGATCGAAGAAGCCCAATGAGATTGAATAAGCGAGATGCGAAGTCCTGTGCGAAATCCGGTGCGAAAACGTCTGCGAAGTCCTGTGTGAAGGTCTGGTGCGAAGGCCTGGTGCAAAGGCCTGGTGCGAAGCTTGTGCGAGGGCGAGAAACGCATAAAGGTTAAAAAAGCCCAGTTGTACCGTGCGCACGGTATAGCCGACTGTAGGATGTAATCAAGGTGAAACAATGTCATGACCCATGGGAAAAAGATATTATGTACGGAGTATTATACTTATTTTAATATTATATATTATGTTATTATAGCTTATCATTTTGTAGGTTTTGAATTAATACATATGAAATATAAAACAAGAATTTATAATACTTCAAAAATATATTATAGAATAAAAATGTATAAGTTCATATAAGAAATATTTTATATAGCTTAAAGTATAAATGTCTTTTATATATATATATATATATATATATATATATATATATATATATATATATATATATATATATATATATATATATATATATATATATATATATATATATATATATATATATATATATATATAAAAGAACAACACTAAAACTCTAATGAAACAAAATTCATAAATAAGAACAAAACATATATAGCAAATGTTCTCAAATTAGAATGTCGTTATTTTCATCCTAAATAGTACTCATGCACTCTTAGCCAGGATTAATGAGGTCCTATGTAGAAAGAAAACATATTTTAGAATGTTTTGTATTTCCATCCTACTTTGAGCAGTTTTTAAATCTAAATATTTAATATAATATAACACATTAAAAAAGACATAAAAAAAATAATAAATAAAATTTAATGTAGCAAATGAAATCGCTAAAATAAAAATTTAAGAGTATAATATAATGTCAAAATTTACATATATTATCTTTTCATCTTTTTTATATTTTTATAATCATATTTTGAATTAACTAAACAATAATTTTTTACCACACACACACACATATATTTACTTTCCATTTTTATTTTATATATATATTGCTTGTTTTTTGAATTTATCACAATGTTGAACCTTTTTAGAGTTGAGGGGGATAATTGAGCAATTCCTACAAGTTGAGGGACTTATTTGATCTTTTAGTTTCAACCTCATATGCACAGGTTGCAACTAGACAGGTTGATCGGGTGTTTACCTGTAAAAAATGAAATTTGAATTATTCTCTGCTGGTTCGGGGTGCGAATTGAACATTTTTTAGTTCATTTGCCGAATTGAGCTAACATGACCGGCACATAGGTCTATTTGACCCTTTGGCCATTTTCCTAATGAATCTAATAGTTATGTAAAAAAGACATGAATTACTTTATATAAATTTTCAATAGAAGTAAAAAATCCTCGAAATCATTTCTTGTAATCATGGCGGGACAACCCATATTCCGACACGGAACCAATTCAAGACCAGAGTATCGGTTTCCAATCCTGAATAAATAATTAGTAGATTCAGATCTGATTCCGGAACCACGTCAATGGTACTCGTAACGAGCAAAAGACGAAAACAATGCACGGATACCTTTTGGGAGAAGAAGGGAAAATAGTAAAAAATTAATATACTAACCATGAGTTCAAAGTACAGTAATATAATCCATGGTTTATAAGTCAATAAGAATGAATGAAACTTTGGATGCATCCAGACTATCTTAGACTTTTAAAAATATATATATTCAATACACTTAAACTTTCAAATTCATGGATTTTAAAAATTTGGAACTAGTTCATTGTACAATTGACCCCTCTTTATTAAGTTATACAGAAATCACCTCAAATAGGAGTAAAACTATAGCAAAAATAAAAAAAGGTCATCTTATGTTTCTATTCCAAAATATGACCATATTACTCTTATTTGGAAACATACCTATTTTTCATTCTATTCTCACTCCTCTTTTAAATAAGAGTAAAACATAGTCAAAAGTCATAATTAAATGTTTTAATTCATAATAAATTCGTAAAAAATAATAAATTCATAGAAAAATAAGAAAAATTAATAAAATATTTATTAAAAAATTAAATTTAAAAATTAATAAAAAATAGTAAAAATCCAACAAAAAAATAAAAAATATGGATGTCTTTCCCACCGTTTGTACTGCCTCCCTGCACCACCACTACCAACCAATGTAAAAAGGTGCCATTTTTTCTAAAAAAAATGCCTTTTTTCTGAAAATGTCAAAAATTGACATATTACTCTTTGAGAATGCCAAAATTTTTATTGAATCTGCCATAAATATGGCATTCCTAAATCATGTGTCGTTTTAATGCCCCAGTGACTGGAGGTAGTGGTGCTAGGCAGCAGAGGTGGCGGCTGTTTTTTTTGCGTTTTTATTATTATTATTTTTACTTTTTTAAAAAAAACTTAAATTATTATTTAAATATTTTATTGATGTTTTAGTAGTTTTACGGATTTTTATTATTTAAATTTTTTTATTATAAATTAAAACATTTCAATAGCTACAAGAGTATATTTGTCCAAGACACACATAATTAGTCTTATGAAACATAATTTATTATTTGGTCCTATTTGTGCAAACGGACCGGAATTTAGTCATATATGCATAATTAATTCTAAGTTATCTAAGTAATTCACTTCATTAGTGAAAACGTTTCAATATATACAACTAGACATGGACCCGGTCCACGGTCCTAGATCGACCGGGAACAGAACTGATTGGTTAACGGGATCGGACTGGAAGTGTGACTGGTGGTTCGGGTATAGGACCAGCACAGGACCCGTGTCCCCACCGGCACTAGTGTCGAGTTTCAATAACGGGGATCAGGACTGACGTGCACT